ATCATCAGATCAGACTGAGTGAGGTAAAGTGAATTTTATTATGCCAATTTTCCCAATGCTCCGTTGAAGATGGCTACCCCTCGGCTTCGCTAGCTGTAAAGCGGCCACAATGCCCATGTTGAACACTCCAAAAAAAGAAATTCTGCATTTCATGTCGCAGAGTCATGACCCATGTGAACACCAAATCACTACTGCACGCTATCCTGCACCCAGTCCGAGCTCTACAACCTCACACCCTCTTTCTTTCCTTACCATCCACGGCCGGCCATCTTCTCCTCGGGCTTCATGCTGTCGCAGTTGATGCCGACCATGGCCTCGCCCAGACCCTCGCTGCACTCGGCGAGAACCTTGGGGTCCTTGTAGTGCGTCGTCGCCCTGACGATGGCCTTTGCGCGCTTGACCGGGTCGCCGGACTTGAAGATGCCGCTGCCGACAAAGACACCGTCGCAGCCGAGCTGCATCATGAGCGCAGCATCAGCAGGGGTGGCGACACCGCCGGCGGCGAAGTTGACAACGGGCAGACGGCCCAGCTCGGCAGTCTGCTGGAGAAGCGCGGGGTCGACCTCGAGCTTCCTCGCGAAGGCGCGGAGACCAAGAATGCCCTCGGTCTGGAGAATAGCCTTGGCCTGGGCGATATCCTTGGTGACCTGCTTGACGTGGGTGACGGCCTCGACGACATCGCCGGTGCCGGCCTCGCCCTTGGTGCGGATCATGGCGGCACCCTCAGCAATACGGCGGAGGGCCTCGCCAAGGTTGCGGCAGCCGCAGACAAAGGGGGCCTTGAAGTCGTGCTTCTCGACGTGGTACTCCTTGTCGGCGGGAGTGAGAACCTCGCTCTCATCGATGTAATCGATGCCGAGGGCCTCGAGGATCTGGCACTCGACAAAGTGGCCGATACGAGCCTTGGCCATGACGGGGATGGTGACGGCGTTCTGAATCTCCCTGATCATGGCCGGATCCGACATGCGGGCGACACCGCCGTCCTTACGGATGTCTGCGGGGACACGCTCCAGGGCCATGACGGCGCAGGCGCCGGCCTCCTCGGCGATGCGGGCCTGCTCCGCGTTCACAACGTCCATGATGACGCCGCCCTTCAGCATCTGGGCGAGGCCGGCCTTGACGGCAAAGGAGCTCTTGGCATCGCCATTGGTCTTGGTAGCGTCGTTGTTGGTCATTTTGACTGAGTTTGACTGATGAACCGTAGTGACTTTGGTATGTTGAGAGAGAGAGGCAAAATAGTGATCGTGTTCCAGAAGGTCTAGGACAAGGTCCGGGAATAATGCGGCTCAGGGTGTGAGGGGTACGTTTTTTTTCAAGCAAATCAGAAGGAAAAGAAGGATTCCTCAGCAAGCAAGTCAGAAGAAAGTGCTCCGCTCCGCAATGGATCTTTGGTACGTTCGGTGATCGGTAACGGAATCCGGGGAAAGGCGTCCTTCGAGAAGAACGGGGGAACGAATAATTAAGTATATGGTGGCGGCGACAACTGGTGATGCACGGGATGCCCAGCAACGACGAGTCACCATTGGACGAGAAAATTTTTCTAACTGTACCGAGTCATCCCGTGTTTTCCGCGGTATCCTCGCGAGCGGCAGATGGACGTGTGTACTGTATGTACACTCAAACCTTTGCCTAGGCGAGCCGAGCAACGACTGAGTCGGCGGCCATTTGGCCGTAGGGAACCCCAGAGCCCGCCGAGGAATCACAGAAGGGCGTGTTGGGCGCCTTCGTCCCCGATCTCGGAAAGGCAACATGCGGTTACTCCGGGGTCCTGGTGCAGGGGAAACCTTCTCATGAGAATCGCAGTGTCATAGAAAGCTGCTCATAGCGGGCGGTGGGCGGCGCCGGTGTTTGAACGGGTGGCGGAGTCTGTGAGCACTGAGGAGAACTGAGGAGTAAGAAAGGGTCCTTGCTGTGGACATGTATGGATGGTCCGCAGTGACTCTCAATGCTGTTCGTCTCTCGGAGCTCTATCCGAAGGTGCCTTTCCTCAATGGAATTACGATAGAGTAACAACCACCGCGGCCGTCGACTCTGAGGCCAGCAAGTGCTCCGACCGGCGGCGAATAATTCTGGGGGGGCCAAGGGCGGAGGGCGGCTGCCGTCGGATGTGCAGCTGCAAGGCGGCAACGCATCCGCCTCCGCCTTACCAGCTCCCATGCGGAATCTCTGCATCTTTCAGCTCCTATCTGATAAGTTGACGTCGTTCACGGCATGATGGAGTAACATGGGAACAATTCCTGAGTTGAACAGGCTCGATATGCGTGCAATACTTTCTTGCGTCGCCGCCTCTCCATGCCTTTCCATGTCTCCCCCATCCACAGCGGCCCCCACGGATCCTGCTACTCCGCCGTTTGACTCTGTCAATTACTTGCATTGCACTAGCAAATGACTGTGTCATTACGCCCTTTGCGCCGTTAGTGACCTTCTATATCGATACAGCGGCGCCCATATTAACACCGCGGCGCCGCCATCGCCCGTGTCCAACGGACCCGATCGCCGCCGACAACGACCCCAGAACCTCACTAAACCGCTCATCTGGCTAGCAACGGGCTGCGAGGGTTCAGTGGCACGACCGTTATCGCCAAGGCTGCTTCAATCCACGCACATTCCATCCTCTTAGTGTTGTGTTATCGTCGTTCGGTCCATAACCTGGTCTGGGTGTGTTGCGTGAATGACTCAATCACCAACACGGCAATTCTCAACCACTTTACCCTTCATTTTCAAGGACAGTACTCTTCTTCACCACCAACTCACAAACCATCACGACTTGACGATGCCTGCTGTTACTGTCGGCGTATTGGCCCTGCAGGGCGGCTTCCACGAGCACCTTGAGCTTGTCCGGAAGGCTGCCGCATCACTCGCATCGGCCCCGGCGCCAAGCCCGATTCCCGAGATCGAGACCACGGAAGTTCGCACCGAGGAGCAGCTCCGCCGCTGTGATGCCCTCATCATTCCCGGCGGCGAAAGCACGACAATCTCCCTGGTCGCCACGCAGTCCGGCCTGATGGAACCTTTGAGAGAGTTCGTAAAGTGAGTCCACAGTCGCAGCAACGTGATGTCATTGGTGAATTCCTGGCAAAGTTTTCTCATCTCACCCCTTGCTGAGTCCCATCCATGAGACAGCGGCTGATATTCATTCTTCATCAGAATTAACCGCAAGCCGGTCTGGGGCACCTGCGCCGGCGCCATCCTGCTTGCCGATGAGGCAAACTCCACCAAGAAGGGTGGCCAGGAGCTCATCGGCGGCCTCGCTGTGCGTGTCCACCGCAACCATTTTGGCCGTCAGATTGAGAGCTTCGTTGCGGACCTCAACCTGCCCTTCCTCTCGAGGGGCGACGGTGGTTCGAAAACGGCGTCGGCACCTTTCCCGGGCGTCTTCATTCGCGCGCCAATTGTGGAGGAGATCCTTTCCAAAGATGCCGAGCCGAAGTCGTCAGTCGAAGTCCTAGCAGTACTGCCCGGGCGTAAGACGAAGGTTGAGGGCGTCAGCCAGAGCACGGCAGATGACTCTGTAGGTGACATTGTCGCCGTTCAGCAGAGGAACATTTTTGCCACGAGTTTCCATCCTGAGCTGACTGACGACATTCGCATTCACGTCTGGTGGCTGGAGCAAGTCCTCCAGAACCTGCCTCCCACATCATCTGCGTGAATGTCAGCCCACGAAAGCGAGGGGTATCATGTGATGTCATGGTAGGCGGACGGATAGAACTGGTGGCATCTGGCGAGCACATATCACACATACTACGCCATCTACGAAAACGCAAAATCTCACCCCAGGGATCGACGTTGGGGGTGGACGTTTAGCAGCACCGGTGGGATGCCTGCCACAAGAGAGGGGTCCTGGCTTGCATCAGAGGCATAGACGCAACGGGTGAGAAACAACGTAGATCTTAGTGCAGCGGTTGCTCGGGTGCGCAGAGTTGCGTAGCCGGCTTTGTCGCTGGAATGGGGAGAGATGGGCTAGTGACATCCGTGGCTTGCAAAGCGAACTTCAGTCACGGAATCACACCCCATGAACCGAACTTTTGGTACCCGACCGGCCCGGGAAATGATGCACTCGTCGAGTTCGGAAATTATTGCGGGAATTCGGGATATTATTACGCATGAGAAATGTTGGTGGAGTTTCATAGAATAGACACGGAAACACGGCATTTAGATAGGCACGCAGGATAGACACACGCACGAAGAATACCCAGAGAAGATGTTCGAACGCTGTCTCGAGGGTCTCCATCGACACCACGGTGAGGTGAGCTTGGCAACGCATGTCTGACACATCTGCGTCGGGATGATCTCAACCATAGCATTTGCCCCTCACACTGGTGGGATCCCATTGGGATCTATGATGCAAAACTTGCAGATCTTCAGGAACATGATGCAGGTTCCTACCGACCATGCGGATAGGTCCCAAGACCGCGGTCTCAGTGAAGATCACGCACAAGGGGTCCTCAATGAACACCCCTCGTGTCGGGGTTACATTGAATGTGAGTAGTGTGTGATGCCTATTCTTAGACGGCCAATTTGAACCAAAGTCCACGATGCCGCCTTCTCGAAGATGCAATTACGTCTAGCAGCTGCGTGGATAACACGCGAATATCCATGGATTTCCGAGGATGAGATAGATGTCGCAGGTGAGATGTAGTCTAGAATAGCCCAGGACTACCAGGTCCATTTTTCCAATTTGGCACGCATTCAACTTCACGAGGGCAATTTGAGAAGAATAGTGGATGTGATAAGTAGTAAATTTGAGCCAAACACCGTCAAGCGTCTCAAGCAGTTCTATGATACTGGTTGAAGTGATGGCTAAGGTAAATTACGTTGGAAGAGAAACAAGAATATACAGGAATTTGTAGAAATAACCTGAGAAGGTTTATACTAGGTATTAAAACAGAATGGTATCAAATATTCTTCGTGAATAGGCTCATAATCCCTTGGTCGCTTTTGCAAACCTCATCAATCAGACGCTATGACATGATGCCCTCCCTCCCAACTGCCTCCGCTAATTATGCTGACAAAAGAAACAAGAGAGCGAACGCACTCATGGCAAAGACCATGGACTTATTAGAGGGGATCATGTGTCCCGCTCCGCTGTTGAAGCCGTTGGGGTTGAACTCGTTGGAGTCGCTGGTAGTGGTGACCGTGGCGGTCTCTTTCTCAGTTGCTGTCGTCTTGTCGGTCTCAGTCTTGGTGACCGTGACAGGCAGCACAATAGTGCCTCCGTTGATGGTTAACCTGTCGGCTCCAGGAACGGCGGCGGCAGTAATGTCTGGCAGACAAGGGCCGTTGGCGCAGGTCTTGGTGACCAGGCGAGTAGTAGTCAGACCGGGCTCGGTGATGACCTCCTCGACAGTGACAGTGACCACGGCATCAGTCTCCTGAGGGACGGTGAGGACCGCAGTGACTGGTGTGGGGCCGTCGTTGCAAACTGCCTGAGTGGTGGTGAAGCCTGGGGGCAGGTCATCACCGTATCCGTGGCATTGGGTGATGGAGCCAGAGCAAGTTTGTGTGATGGTGTAAGTCTCCGCCCTCAAACCCTCAGAACATTCCGGAGCGAAGGTTGGGTAGACGGTTGTGTAGACTGCCGTGAAACCCTCATCGTCTGCTCCCGTACCTGTGGGCTGCTGTTGCTGTTGTTCAGGGAGGATATATATCGAGATGGGCTCTACTCTGGTGACGGTAAGGGCGTCTAGTGTTGTTGTCGTAGAGCAGTCCACTTGTCTGTACTGGACCCGGCCGGCAGCAGCACCGGCAGCAAGGGTAAGGAGGAATGTGAAAGTGTTTTGAGGAGACATGTTGAATATGTTGTGTCGCAGCCCAGTGTCGCAAAGTGTGAGTGAGATCGAAATCAAAGCCTCATGAAGGAATGCAGACAAACTCTATATCAGGACATCGCATATGGAGCCGGAGAGATATCGTATGCTTCTTCTAGCGTTTGGCCAAGCCTTCGTCAACTGTGACGTCCATCTCCGGACGTCATGTCACAAGGGCGTCAACTCAAAAGTCCACAAACCAACGTCGGGCAGACGCCCAAGCTACCTCCGGAGCGGAAGGGGCCATCACGACAAAGCCAAGGGGGGTTCAGTATGAGCACAATTTGGGAATACAGAGTCCGAATGCAACCCGGCCAAGACCAAGGGTCCGCGATCGTGATCACGTATGTCTGGGGGGTGTACCATACCCGGCCTGGGCCAGCGCCTCCCTCCGGGTGCGGTCAGCTCTGTTGGTCATCGGGTAAGGTTGCCCAACTGTCCCGGGCCGTCTTGTCCTCTCGCGTTAACCGGATCCGACCAAGTCAGATCTAGCAATTGTCAAGAAGCTGTCAGTGCGCCGTGGGAACGGTGAGATTGAGTTCCAGGGTCTGGACTCATAGGGGGGTGTCTTAGAATTTCGACCAACCACGGCGGCCTCGCCGGGCACCAGCAGCCCAACTGTCGCCGAGATCTTCATTCCCGTCTTTAGTTGACGTGCTAATTGTCTAGCTCACTAGGTGTGACCCACGCCCAGGACCCCAAGCTCGCAGCCTCATTTTGAACCTCATCCTGCTGTGTTTGCTTTCGGTCTGTGGCGGCGATAGCTTGGATAGGCACTGGTGCTGCGGAGGGTGCGGAGGCGGAGGAGAGGAAGAGAAGAGACGGCGGGAGAGGGCAGATGACAGGAAACGCCACATTCTCCAACCATCAACGGCCTCTTTACACGAACGCCTCCCGAGCCCAAAGCTGGACGCATTTGGAGCGATTATCTTCAGCTCCTCGAACCGACCTTTCCTGCGTTTACGTGTCCCAAGCTCCTTGCATCAACGCTTCCGGCCGAAAGCTCAACTGTTCGTCCTAACATGAAAGAGGTGAAGGGCATCCTGATCTAAGAGCGGGAGCATAATCCGTAGAACAAGCTATCTCCGTGATTGGACATCCGTATCCACCCTCAAGGCAGCTCTTGGTGATTGGACGCTAATGTTGTCACCCCAACGGACTCAACCGTCATCCGCGGGCGCGCGATCTGGGATCGGAACTGCCAACTCAACATCACTCAGCATGCCATGGATACGAAGCGTTCGTTCCCTGCTGACGCTACAAGGAACAACAATGAGATTGTTGCCTTTGCAGATCGCAAATTACTCGTCGACCTAGTCGAAGATTCCGCAGTTTGGGAACCCGATGCGGTTCTGGCCATCTCTCGGTTGACGGACTTGTCTTAGATTGCAAGACCCCTCGGCAAGGTCCAGCAAACAATCACGCACTTATGGCCGGAAAGAGCAGAAAATGACCAGAACCAGTCGTAGTGGAGGCGAGATGAAGTCAGAAAGCACCAATTCGACCCGTTTTCGAGATGACCTCCTGAATCTCTCCCGTGCCTTGCTCGAGGAAAATTCGGCCCGGGGGGATGATTTCGCCACGGTTTACCCTCTCGCCGCCTCTCTCTCGTCGCCTTTTGCCTCCTTGGATTTCTTCTTTTACCCTTCTTCATCGTGTCCCGGGAGGTGCTCTTCTTGTAGTCCAGGGCAAAATCTTGCTGTCACAGAGAGACATTGTGACAACTTGGCACGCAACCCGGGCTGAACACAGGTCCTCCAGTTTCCGCAAAGGAGCGACATTCCTCACCCACCAAGCCCATTCCGCTCGCCAGGCACGCCGCAGTCTCACGGCAACGGACACAAGGCACCTTTTATCTTTTCGTTAAAACAATCGAAGCGTCGTCAATACTGACTGACCCTAACCTTAATACCCATTTGTTTCACGGGCGTTCACACTCTTGTCGTTCGCCAATCCCCCCCTTCTCCCCCGTTGAAACAAACGGCGCCTCCCGTCTTCTCTTCACGAGATGCCAGTGCCTGTTCAGTAACGATCAGGCCCTTCATCATACGACCTGAAGTCTCAACTTCCGAATAGTATCACCGACCTAATCAATAATACCCAAGACGCGAGTCGAAGCAAGAGAAGAAGCCTGCTCCCGCACGGCTTCCAGACCTGGTGTCTTGGACGGTCTCGAGACTCTGTCGTCGTGCTGGATATCACGCATTATTAATAGTAATCTTTCAGCATGAAGCTCTTCACGACCTTGGGCCTGTTGGCCTCCGCCGGGCAGTACTGGCTTGCGTCAGGACTGCCTCAGTTCCCCGATAACCCCATGTGCACAGCTGGCATCACATCCGTCGAAGTCCAGCCCGTACAGTTCATCGTGCGCCGCCCGATCTACATCAGCGCGTTCCTACCGGCCAACACAGTCTTGATCCTCGACGACGGACTTACACTCACAGTCACCAATGCGCCGTTGACGCTCATCACCGAAATCGACAAGCTGGGCACTCTGACCTCCGAAGTGACCAGGTAAGTTCATCTTCTTCAACCTGGACACTTACATGACACTAACTTGCTGTGCCAGAATCATCGAGGGAATCTCATCTCTCCCCAACGCATACGTTACGATCACAAGAGGTGGCCAGTCGGGAACAGAGGCAAGCACCATCACCGTGCTTCCCTCCGGCCCGGATGGCGTTGGCACTTACCTCGTCTTCACCCCCTTTGCGCTCACTGACGCGACGACCGGAGCTGGTATTCTGCCAACACCCACGGTCGGAAGCCCTGCGGCAACAATCGTCGGCTCTCCCGAGGATGCCAGTCGTCTCCTGACTGAGGCTCTGAACAGCTTGGGTAACTCTGTCCCGCCGGTAACAAACGACCCCGGCGCGACCCCGGCCAGCCCGGCTTCAGTCCCGGTGACGCTTCTGCCTACCGGAGGAGCTTTACCTGCTGCGTTCTACACCACCGTCAATGTTGGTGGTGCTGATGGGGTGCCTCGGAACCTGACTGTTACCTCTGGAACCGAGGGCACAGTCTTCGCGCAGACCTTTGACAGATTCTCGGTCACCGTGACTGGTCCCGACAATGTCATCACCGTTCTCGGAAACGCTGGAGTCTCGCCTTCAGCCATCACCTTGGCCGGAAACCGAGCTGCGGCGGCGGCCTCTGGAGTCAGCGGTGACGTCTTGCAGATCATCCAGACCCCTGGAGGCGAGGCAAACTTCCTGGAGCGACTTCTCACGACCACAGTAGGCGCTCAAGGGATCGAGGGAACCAACACATTCACAATTGTTCCTACTGGAACCGGAAGCGTTGGTGCCGTAGTCGTCCAGACTCCTCTCGCAGGTTCCGCAGGCATTTTTGCTGGACCGCTCAGGACCATCACGGCCGGTGGAAACACCGGTTCTAATACAGTGACATTTACGGTTCCTCCTCAAGGAACAGACCAAACTGGCACTGTTGTCGTCCAGCCAGCGCAGATTGCTTTCACTGGCCCCTTCACGACCATCACCTCAGGAGGCGTCTCTGGCTCCGTGCCTCTTTCTCTGACCATTTTGCCTTCGACAAGCCCCTCGCTGGGTACCGTCATTGTGCAAACTCCTCTGGCTGCGAGCCCCGTCAACTTCATCACAAGAAACGCGCTCGCCATTGCCGGTCTCGGAGCCACCATCACTCTGCCATTGGGCGGTTCTTCTGCTACTGGCCCTGCAACGGTCATCATCGCAGCAGGTTTGGGAGGTGATGATCCGGCCACGACCGCGCCGGCTGCTCTGGCAGCGTCGATTGTCACGATCCGCGGTGCCTTCAACGGCACTACTCCCCAGACCTTGACCTTGGCCCCGGCTGGTGATAACTCGCTTGCGACTGTTGTTGAGCAGTTGCCCGTTGGCTTCTCTACAAACAACCAGGCGAACCCTACAGCCCCGGCTGCTCCGGCTGCGACCGGTGTCAACACAGCCGGTCAACCCAACGCCCCTGTGCCAACAGCAGGACCTTCAGTCAACCCAATTCCCAATCAGATTCTTCCTGCTGCCATCACCAGCGGATATAGTGGTTCTGTGCCTACAACTGTCACTTTGCCGCCCTCTGGAGCTCAGACTGCCAGCCAAGTTGTCGTTCTCACCCCCTTTTCTAACAACTTGGTTGCCACCAACATTCTCCAGCAACCGACAACCATTACTCAAGGAGCATCGGTTACTGTCGCGACGACCGTCACTCTCCAGCCGGGTACCATTCAGCCAGGAGCAGCAGTTCCCACTGCTCCTACTGTTCTTGTGCTGACGCCGCTACCATCTGGTGCTGCAGCAGCAACCCCCGTAGTCAATCCGGCTCAGTTGACCACGGTCTCCGGAGTCATCAACGGAGACAGCCCCCTGACTGTTACCATTCCTCCAGCGAACTCCGTTGATCCTGGCACTGTCGTTGTTCTTCAACCTGCTCAAACGGCCGGTGTCGTTCCTGGTGTTACTCCCGGAGTCATTCCCGGTGTGACTCCTGGTGTCGCTCCCGATGTTACTCCTGGTGGTGCTGCGACTCCCGGAGGTGTAGCAACTCCTGGAGCAGGCCAAGACACTGTTCTTGCTGAACCCTTCCTACCGGGGGCGTTCACGACCATCCAGTCCGGATTCAGCGGCGCAACTCCCACCACCTTCACCGTTCCCCCTGTTGCTCCAAACAGCATTGGTACAGTTGTCGTCTTGACCCCTACTAACGCAGCAGGTGCCGGCCCCTCACTGCCCGCTGGTGTACCTTTCGTGACGGTCACGAGCCCCTTCGCAGGAGAGACTCCTCAGACTAATGTATTGCTCCCATCTGGTACTAACCCCACAGGAACCGTTCTTGTTGAAGTCCCAGCTGCTCAGTTTACGCCACCCGCTTCAGGCATCAGCCTGCCCGCCGGTGTGCCATTCGTGACTGTGACAACTCCCTTTGCCGGAGAGACTCCCGAGACCAACATCTTGCTTCCCTCTGGCACTGGCAGCGTTGGAACCGTTCTGGTTCAGGTGCCATCTGCCCAGTTCACGCCAGCTGCGCAAGTCACAGCTCCCACCGCAGGTGTTGTCCCGACGCCGGGTGGCCCTCTGCTCCCTGGCATCACCATCGGAGGACAGACCATCGTCATCCCCGGAATCACCATTGGCGGCCCCATTGCTCTGCCTACTGGTCTTGACTTAGGATCTTTCCTCACCCTGACTCAGGCCGGGTCAGACCCAAACACCGTAGTCTTCCTTCCCACGGGTACCAACCCGGGTCTTGTTGTCATTCAGACACCGACTGTCGCGCCGACTGCTGCTCCTGGCGCTGGTGTTTTCACAACCCTCTTCCAGGGGTACACCGGCTCAACGCCCACCACCACGACTCTGCCGCCGACGGGAACCAATACCCTCGGCGTTGTCTTGGTTCAGACTCCCCTGGTGAACGTCCTCGATACCACGACGGTTGGTTTTACTGGCACGGCACCCAACACGATCACCGTGCAGCCCACTTCGGGTGGCTCTGGTATCGTGGTTGTTGAAACTCCTTTCGTCAACCCTTTGCAATCCACCCCGGCTGTCCCGGCTCAGATCTTCACGAGCATCACTCAGGGCTTCACCGGATCTGCCCCGACTACAATTACGCTCCAGCCTACTGGAACCAACACAGTTGGTACCGTGGTTGTTCAGACCCCCATCTTCCCTGGAGGTGGAGTTCAGGTTACCACGCCGGCAGACCCGGCCGCATCGGACCCGGGCGATCCTCTCATTGACATCATCGCCACCTCGACTGTCGGTCTTCCAGGCTTGCTGGCCCCGACGACGACTACGATTTTACCAAGCGGAACCAACCCCGGCTCCGTCATTGTTCAGACTCCGGTGTCACTTACCGGCTCTCCGGGACCTAACCAGCCTCAGTCCTTCGTCACCCTCGCGACGGGTTACACTGGAACTGTCCCTCTGGCGACCACCATTCTGCCCGCAGGCACCAACTCGGTTGGAACTGTTCTGATCCAGACACCTACTCAAGGTGGAGGAGGCGGCGGTGGCGGCGGCGGAGGTGGTGTCCCTACTGTTGGTGTTACCCCTGATCCTGCTCTTACACAAGCTCTCACGACCATCACGGCTGGATTCTCTGGTTCCGTGCCGACCACCATCACATTCTCGGCCACTGGTGCTCAGACTGCTGGTATTGTTGTCGTCCAGACTCCTACCACTGGTCCTTTCGCATCTCCCTCCGTCCAACCGGCCGACTTCGTCACGTTCTTCACTGGATATACTGGATCCGTGACTGCCATCTCCACGATCTTGCCTACTGGCACTGCTTCTGTTGGCACCGTCTTGATCCAGACTCCTACTGCCGGTGCTGTTGCGACCTCACCTCCGGTTGTTCCGACTGGTTTTGTTCTCACTACCGCTGGCTACACCGGCTTGGTTCCCACAACTATCACGATCCAGCCGTCGGGCACCAATCCCGGCACCGTCTTGGTTCAAACACCTACAGTCGACCCAGCGACTTTGGTTCCGACTGGATTTGTTCTCACCACTGCTGGCTACACCGGTTCAGTCCCGACTACTATCACGATCCAGCCCTCTGGTACAAACCCAGGAACTGTGTTGGTCCAGACACCTACCGTCGAACCTGCAACGCTGGTTCCGACTGGATTCGTCCTTACTACAACCGGGTACACCGGCTTAGTCCCAACCACTATCACCATCCAACCCTCTGGCACGAACCCAGGCACCGTCCTGGTCCAGACTCCAACTGTTCTGCCAGCCTCGGTCCCCTCAGGATTCGTCCTCACAACGACTGGTTACACTGGTCTTGTGCCGACAACGGTGACTGTCGAACCCTCAGGAACCAACCCAGGTTCTGTCATTGTCCAGACCCCGACTGTCATCGTCGACCCTGCTCAGGTTCCAACCGGCTTCGTGGTATCAACGACCGGCTACACTGGATCTGTCCCAACCACCGTCACTATTCAGCCGTCGGGAACCAACCCCGGCACTGTCCTCATCCAGACACCTACAGTTGAGCCTCAGATCATCCCAAGTGGATTTGTCGTAGCCACCACTGGATATACTGGCTCTGTGCCGACAACGGTCACCATCCTCCCGACTGGTACCCAGTCCATTGGAACTGTCCTGATCCAGACTCCAACTGCTGTTGCCAGTCAGACCGGAGGCAGCGGTGCCGGTGGTGGTCCCATCGAGCCCGTCTTCTTGAGCAGCGGCTACGCTGGATCTGTCTCGTCAACTCTGACCTTGACTCCTTCGAACGTCGGAGACCCGACAACCTTGGTCGTGCTCACACCCAGCGACGCTGCTGGTGTCGCGCCATCTCCAACAGTCACCGTGGAGCCAATTCTCTTCATTACTTTGACCATCGGGTACCCTGGTCCTACGATTGCCACTCTGACCTTGTTCCCCAGCAGCGGCAACCCGATCGGAACTGTTCTGATCCAGACCCCCTTACCGTCTGGACAGAGCAACACCATCACAGCCACTGGTTTCACCACGCAGACTCTGCCCTTCACGGGATCAGTGCCGACCACCATCACTATCCCCCCGGCTGCCACGGATCCCAATGGCATCGCGACGGTCATTGTGCAGGACCCGATCGCTTCGTACGTCACTGTTTCAAGCGGGTACTTCGGTTCTGGTATTGCGACGACGACTGTCGCCCCCGCAAACCCAGGAGACCCAGGCACCGTCATCATCCAGACACCTCTTCCGGCTTCATTCTTCACCACCACTGTCGGATACACTGGCTTGGTTCCTACTACGACCACACTGCTGCCGTCTGGAACCGACACCGTTGGCGCTGTCATCATTCAAGTCCCTACATCTACTCTTGCGCCGACCGCCGACCCTGCCATCTCCTACATCACGGTGTCTACCGGGTACTCGGGAGTGGGAACTCAAACCACCACAATCCTTCCTACGGGAACCGAAACTGTTGGCCTGGTCCTTATCCAGACTCCCACGGCTGACGGCGGCGATACCGCCACCGCACCTGGAGTTACTCCCACGGCCCCTGATGTCACTGCTACCCCTGGAATCAGCTTCATCACGACGACTACGCTATGGGATTCAACGGGCACATCCACGGAAACCACGTTCCCTACCGGCACGCAGGCTGTGGGCAACGTCATCGTCTTTGCTCCTCGATTTGCCAGATTCATCACAACGACTGTTGGCTGGACTGCAAGTGGTCTGTCCACGACCACCAGCCCTACGACAAGTGCAAGCGAGGTCATCGGCATGGTCATTATTTATACCCCCGAACCCACTGCCGCTCCTACGTCCGCTCCCGACCCATCCGTTGGCGCATCCATCACTCCCGCCGCGTCTCCGAGCGTGGAATTTGCTACTCTTACTAGCACCTACTCAGGATCGGTGCCCACCACATTCACGCTCGCTCCTAGCGGCACTGACACCGTGGGTACTCTTGTGGTCTTGGTGCCAAGCTCCACGGCAAGCCCTGATGCATCTGGAGGAGATCCTGTCTTTGCGACTCTTACGAGCACGTACGCAGGCTCCATTCTTTCAACTTCAACGATTGTGCCGACGGGAACCAACTCCCAGGGCACTCTTGTTGTCCTGGTTCCGAGTAGCGCTGCCTCTCCCGGTGCTACTGGCTCACCTGGAGCATTGTTCGAGACCATTACGTCTACCTATGGAGGTTCCATCACCTCCATCGAGACTCAGCTGCCTTCCGGCTCCGATCCAACCGGAACTGTCATTGTCTACGTTCCGAGCGATGTCTTGGCTTCGCCGACAATCACACCTGGCCCTGCCTTGACTACTGTCACCTCCGCTTACCCCGGATCCGTCATCTCGACTGCCATTGCTTCACCCGCCAACCCTGGCGACCCAGGCACTGTCATTGTCTACATCCCGACGAGCGTGTATTCAGACACAGGTGCCTTTACAACTGTGCTTTCGACCTACACCGGCTTGGTACCTGCGACGACGACTGTTCTCCCCGCCAACATCAATGACCCGGCTACCGTCATTGTGCTTATTCCGAGCGCGACCCCCACAGTCAGCGTCCCGGAGGCCACCAGCGGTGGTTCTGGTGGCGGTGCTGGACTTCCCGCACTCTCTACAAGCCTTTACGATGGATCGGTGACTCTGACTACAACTATTCCGGGAGTATCAGGTCTCCCAGACCAGACCCTGGTACTTGTTCCCAGCATTACACCCACGGCGACCTTGCCGGGCGGTGGCGCTGGTGGTCTGCCAGGACTTATCACCAGCCTTTACGATGGTTCCATCACCCTCACGACTACCATTCCCGGGGTTTCAGGAGCTCCTGACGAGACCCTAGTTCTCATTCCCAGCATCACGCCTACGGCGACTTTGCCGGATGATGGTGCTAGTGTCTTGCCTAATTTAATCACCAGTCTGTACGATGGCTCCGTCACTCTTACAACTACGCTGCCTGGAGTCTCGGGTCTCCCAGACCAAACTGTGATCCTTATCCCAAGTATCACGCCGACGGTGAGCCTTCCGGGTGGCGGAGCTGGTGGAGTTCCAGGCTTGGTGACCAGTTTCTACGATGGCTCGGTTACTCTCACCACTATCATCCCTGGAGTGACGGGTCTTCCTGATGAGACTCTTGTCCTCATCCCGAGTGTCACGCCGACTGCCAGCCTCCCTGACGACGGGGCCAGTGAATTGCCTGCTCTCATCACTAGTTTCTATGATGGCTCAGTCACACTGACTACCACGATACCTGGTGTCTCCGGTCTTCCAGAGACTGTCGTCCTCATCCCGAGTGTTACACCAGCGGCAAGCATCCCGGGATTATCTACCAGCTTTTACGACGGTTCGGTCACCCTTACGACCACAATCCCTGGCGTGTCTGGTCTTCCTGACCAGACTCTTGTCTTGGTGCCAAGCATCACGGCCGACCCAGCTGCTACTGGCGGCGCCGGAGGCTTGCCTGCGCTGGCCACCAGTTCCTATGATGGTTCGGTTACCCTTACCACCACAATCCCTGGCGTGTCAGGATTGCCCGACCAGACCCTCGTTCTTGTTCCTGGCGTTACGCCCCAGCCATCTCTACCGGGCACGACTCTGGCCCCTGGAGTATACACGAGCACTTACGATGGATCAATCACGTTCGCTTTGACGATTCCTCCCTATACTATTGGATTACCTGGCGCGACTATCATCTTCGTTCCTAGCCTTCCAGGTTTGCCCACAGCGACACCTACGGCTTTGGGTCAAGGGCTCGTGACCAGCTTGTACGATGGTTCCATTACTTTCACCTCGACTCTTCCTGGTGTTTCTGGCCTGCCCGATGAAACTGTCGTTTTCATTCCAAGTACCCCAGGTCTCCCTACATCGCTTCCAACAGCCTTGAGCCAGGGCTTGGTGACGAGCTTCTACGATGGTTCTGTCACTTTGACATCAACGATTCCTGGTGTCTCGGGTCAGCCAGATGAGACTATCGTCTTCGTCCCTACCATCACAGGCCAGCCAACAGCAGCCCCAACAGGTCCAATCACCAGTTTCTATGATGGCTCCGTCACCTTTACGTCCACAATTCTGGTCGCATCCGGTCTGCCTGATGATACCATTGTTTACGTCCCAAGTGCTGGAGCTCTTCCCAGCTCTGACTTGGGGGGTCTTCCCACATCTGCGCCTACCGCTCTCGAGGCGGGCTTATACACAAGCACGTACGGCGGCTCCATTACTTTCACTTCGACTCTGCCCGAAGTTTCTGGACTGCCTGGAGCGACCATTATCTTTGTTCCTAGCATTACGGCTCCAGCAGTGCCCTCGGTTACGCCTGGCGGCTTAGTGACAAGTCTCTATGATGGCTCGATTACCTTCACATCTACCATCCCTGGCGTATCTGGTTTGCCCGATGAGACTGTCGTGTTCCTTCCGACCGTCACTAGCCCCGTGGACCCTACCAGCGCGGCTGGAAGTGTTGGAGGTTTGGTCACGAGCCTCTACGACGGCTCAATCACCTTCACCTCAACCATTCCTGGTGTCTCTGGCCTACCAGACGATACGATCATCTTCCTACCGTCCCTTACGGCTCCAGCCGTTCCTACCAGTGTTGCTGGAGGCTTGGTTACGAGTTTCTATGATGGTTCAATCACTTTGACTACCACCATTCCGGGCACTTCTGGATTCCCAGATGAGACTCTTGTGCTTGTACCTTCGATTACGGACCCTGCCCTCGGAGCAGTGCTCACCAGCTTGTACGATGGGTCGATTACGCTTACAACCACTCTTCCTGGCGTATCTGGCTTGCCAGATCAAACCGTCGTCTTAGTCCCTTCGATTACAGCTCCGGCTGTCCCGACAAGTGCTATCGGCGGACTAGTCACTAGCTTGTACGATGGGTCGATTACCCTTACGACTACTATCCCCGGAGCCTCTGGCCTGCCAGACCAGACTGTTGTGCTGGTGCCTTCAATAACCGACCCTGCCCTCCACACGAGTGCAGTCGGCGGATTGGCGACGAGCCTGTACGACGGATCGGTCACACTCACAACGACGATCCCAGGGGTTTCTGGCTTGCCAGACCAAACCCTTGTCCTCATCCCCAGTGTCACTGGCGCGCCGGCTTTGCCCAATCTCTTTACAAGCACCTATGACGGCTCCATCACTTTCACGTCCACGGTTCCGGGTGTTTCGGGCCTGCCGGACGACACCATTGTGTTCGTCCCTGGCATTACCGCTGCTCCATCATTGCCCAATCTCCTCACCAGTACTTATGGCGGTTCTGTCACCCTCACATCCGTCATTCCAGGAGCTTCGGGCGCGCCAGATGAGACCATTGTGCTGGTTCCTGATCTGACCGATTCGCTGGCGTTACCAAACATTCTCACAAGCACTTATGATGGATCTATTACTGTCACATCCGTGATTCCTGGTGTCACTGGGTTGCCTGATGAGACGATCGTCCTCGTACCTAGTGCTGTGCCGAGTCTGCCAGCTGGTGGCCTTCTTACCAGCACTTACGACGGCTCTATCACGCTCACTTCTGTCATCCCTGGAGTCACCGGTCTGCCTGACGAAACGATCATCCTAGTGCCGAGCGCGACCCCTACGCTAGGTGGTCTTATCACCAGCACCTACGACGGCTCTGTCACCCTTACCTCTGTCATTCCAGGTGCTTCAGGCCTCCCAGATCAGACAGTCATTCTTGTACCCAGTGTCGATCCAACTTTGCCGGCTGGCGGCTTGCTCACAAGCACTTACGGAGGCTCAGTCATCTCGACAACTACACTCCCCGTTGGAACCGATGGTCTGCCTGGAGCCACCGTTGTCCTGGTCCCCAGCATCACGGGGGCCCCAGCACTCCCGAATGTTTTCACCAGTCTTTACGATGGACAGAGTACTTTCACTTCCATCCTACCTGCAGGAACTGCTGGCGACCCTGGAGCGACGATCATCTTCATCCCTCGCCCAACAACCGTTGTGTCAGCTGGCGGTCTTTTCACAAGCACTTACGACGGCTCAGTCATTTCAACCACGACACTGCCGGCTGGAACTGACGGCCTTCCTGGTGCCACGATTGTTCTTGTTCCCGGCATTACGGCGACACCGGCGCCCCCTAATATCCTTACGAGCACTTACGATGGCTCAGTTGAGATCACCTCGACAATTCTCAACAGCGCAGGTGATCCTATCGAGACCTTGGTTCTCGTCCCAAGCTCAATCGGTTTGCCTACTGCTGTTCCTACTTTGCCTACAAGCACTTACGACGGCTCTGTCACCGTAACCTCGACAATCCTGGACCCGTCTGGCAACCCTGTTCTTACTGCAATCTTCGTCCCAGGCTCAACTGCCTTGCCCGCATTGCCAACAAGCTTCTATGATGGATCCGTAACCTTAACGTCGACAATTCTGGATCCTTCCGGAAACCCCGTCGAGACCGCTGTGTTCGTCCCAAGTATCACGGGTGTTCCTCAACTGCCGACCAGCCTCTACGATGGCTCGATCACATTGACATCAACAATCTTGGACGCCTCCGGAAACCCAGTTGAGACGGCCGTCTTTGTTCCCAGCGTCACTGGCATTCCCCAATTGCCAACAAGTCTGTACGATGGGTCCGTCACCGTCACATCGACCATTCTCGATGCTTCAGGCAACCCTATTCAAACTGCAGTCTTCGTGCCAAGCATTACCGGTCTTCCTACCGCTTTGCCCACGAGCCTTTACGACGGGTCAATTACGGTGACATCAACTATACTCGATGCCTCGGGTAACCCTGTCCAAACCGCGATCTTCGTGCCGAGCGGTGTGCCTAGCGTTACTGGCCTTCCTGGTGTCCTCCCAACCAGTCTTTATGACGGGTCGATCACTGTCACGTCAACTATCCTCGATGCTTCTGGTAACCCAGTTGAAACGGCTGTATTTGTACCAAGCATCACCGGTCTACCCGATGTTTTGCCAACAAGTCTATATGACGGGTCTGTTACGCTTACATCCACCATTCTTGATGCTTCCGGAAACCCTGTTCAAACGGCTGTGTTCGTGCCAAGTGTCACTGGTCTACCGGGTGTCCTGCCAACGAGTCTTTACGATGGATCTATCACGCTTACATCGACCATTCTTGACGCGTCGGGTAACCCGATTCAAACGGCTGTCTTCGTTCCAAGCATCACCGGATTGCCTAGTGCACCTGGCGCATTGCCGACCAGCCTTTACGATGGATCGGTGACGTTGACGTCTACTATTTTGGACGCGTCCGGAAACCCAATCCAGACTGCCGTGTTTGTGCCAAGCAACACTGGCCTTCCAGGTGCCCTGCCAACCAGCTTCTACGATGGTTCGGTGACTCTAACTTCCACAATTCTTGACGCGTCTGGAAACCCAGTTGAAACTGCGGTCTTCGTGCCGTCTATCACTGGCTTGCCGAACGTTCTTCCGACCAGCTTCTATGACGGATCTGTGACGTTGACGTCGACGATCTTGGACCCTTCAGGCAACCCAATCCAGACTGCCGTATTTGTTCCGACGATCACGGGCCTGCCCGACGTGCTCCCAACAAGCTTCCATGATGGATCTGTTACTCTTACTTCCACCATCTTGGACGCATCTGGCAACCCGATTCAGACCGCGGTTTTCATCCCGACAGTCACTGGCTTGTCCAACGTGCTTCCCACTAGCACATACGATGGATCTGTTACCTTGACCTCCACTATCCTGGATCCTTCTGGTAACCCCGTCTTGACGGCAATTTTCGTTCCCGGATCGACTGCACTACCCAGCCTGGATCTTCCCACCAGCACCTATGATGGCTCTGTCACTCTGACTTCAACCATCCTGGATGCGTCTGGAAATCCTATCCAGACGGCTATCTTTGTGCCCGGTGTGTCTAACTTGCTGGCCACCGGTCTACCAACGAGTACATATGATGGCTCAGTCACACTGACTTCAACTATTGTGGATGCTTCAGGCAACCCTGTTGAGACCGCAGTATTTGTACCAGGCCTTACGAGCTTGGCAAACAACGGGCTTCCTACCAGCACGTACGATGGCTCTGTCACGTTAACATCAACGATCTTGGATGCCTCTGGAAACCCCATCCAGACTGCTGTCTTTGTGCCAGGAGCTACCAGCTTGCCAAACATTGGTCTTCCCACGAGCACTTACGATGGATCCATCACATTGACATCGACAATTTTGGACCCATCTGGAAACCCCATTCAAACGGCAATCTTCGTGCCGGGGTCTTCCGCTCTCCCGGATCCTGGAGTGTTGACAAGCGGCTACGATGGTTCTGTGACGTTGACCTCAACCATCTTGGATGCCTCGGGCGATCCTGTGCAGACCGTCGTTCTCGTGCCGACTGCCACTGGCCTTCAAGGTGGTGGACTTCTTACCAGCACTTACGACGGATCGATCATCTCAACAACCACACTTCCCGTTGGTACCGATGGCTTGCCTGGCGCGACTGTCGTTCTTGTACCCAGCCCAACTGTTCCCGCACTGGATGTCTTGACAAGCACATACCCTGGCTCTGTGACCCTGACAACGACCGTTCCGTTTGGGCCGCCTGGCTCTTCTGCAGTCATCGTTTTGGTTCCAAGTGCTACTACGGCCCTCGGAGATATCCTCACCACCACGTACGGCGGATCAGTCACTCTCATCAGCACATTCCCTGCTGGCCCGAATGGCGAGGCTCCGTCTACTGTCGTCTATGTTCCGGGCATCACCGACGCCCTGCCAAACTTGCTCACAAGCACGTATGATGGCTCGATTACCTTCACCTCCACGCTCCCAGGGGGTCCCTCTGGTGAGCCTGGTGCCACTGTCATCTTCGTTCCCGGCATTACTGGCGTCCCCTCTGCTCCCACCAGAAGCATCTCGTTCGCGACCATCACAAGCGCATACACTGGTGCTCTTCCCTCCGCCACCACGGTCTTCCCGACCGGTGACAACGATGAAGGTACCATTATCATTCTCGAGCCAGCCTCATCAGGAGCTGGTGGTGACCCGGCGCTGTTCGTCACGCTTACGAGTGGCTACTCCGGTCTCGTGCCATCTGCGACAACCATCCTGCCTACTGGCACCGAGACACTTGGCCAAGTCATCATTTTGGTGCCCACTGCCACGGACGGAAGCACTCCCACCTTCAACTTTGCCACTATCACCAGCGGATACACCGGTCTGGTACCGTCTGCCACCACCATCTTCCCTACCGGAACCGACACCGACGGGACGGTTATCATTCTTGAGCCGACGGCCACTCAACCGCTTGTATTCACAACCATCACTAGCCCTGGTGTTGGATCCGTTACGTCGACTACAACAATCTTGCCGACTGTCACTGGCGATCCCGGCATTGTCGTCATTTTCGACCCGGATCTCCTTGTTACAACCTCGGACCTCCCATCCTACACCACGGTCATCAGCACGTACGATGGATCGTCTCTCACAACTTCTACCTTGGCACCTGCAGGAACTGACACTATTGGAACTGTTGTGGTTCTCGTACCAAGCGCAAGCGTCTCCATCCCCGGAGTCTCTTCCTATGTCACTCTCACCAGCACTTACAGTGGCTTGGAGCCCCTTCTTTCGACTTTGGCACCTTCTGGCACCGACGCTGTTGGCACCATCATCTTCTACGAGCCCATCGCCACTCCAACGGCTGATTTCACAACAATCATCAGCACTTATGATGGGTCTGCCGTGGCCACGTCGACGATTGCTCCGGCCAATCCTGGCGATATCGGCACGGTCATCATCCTTCAGCCTGCTTCCCTCATCAGCACCCCTGTCCTGTCCGTCACAGCCGTCTTTACTACCATCACCACCACATACGATGGCAGTATCATTCAGACCACGACGGCCTTGCCTACAGGAACTGGCCTCGGTGAAATTGGCACTGTCATTGTCCAAGTTCCAAGCGCGCTGGCCAATGCCTTTACTACTGTCACCAGCGTCTACGACGGTTCGGTCACCTTGACCACGACTCTCCTGCCTGATGCGACTGACCCTGCCGGTCTTGGCACGGTTATTGTGCAGGTGCCTACTCAGCTTCCATTGAGCACTGGCAGCTTGGGTGAGTTGTTCACGACAGTAACATCGACGTACGCCGGTTCGATTACTCTTACATCCACAGCACTCCCTGATCCTGCAGACCCCACTGGCATTAGAACAGTTATCGTCCAAGTTCCCGATCAAGCGGCAACAAGCACTGATGCTTTGGGCAACATCTTCACCACGATTACATCCACGTACGCTGGATCTGTTACCCTTACATCAACAGCTCTTCCAGACATTGCAGACCCGACCGGCATCAGGACCGTCATTGTGCAAGTTCCTGGCGATCAAGCCACATCGACAGACATTTTGGGCGATCTTTTCACCACCGTGACGTCGACATACGCTGGCTCCGTGACTCTCACTTCTACGGCCCTGCCTGACGTTGCGGACCCAAGTGGCATCCGAACAGTCATCATACAGGTTCCAGGCGACTTGGCGTCTTCCGCGACTGATCCTCTTGCCGCTTCGTTCACAACCATTTTCAGCACGTACCCTGGCTCAGTTACCTTGACAACTACTTTGCCGCCTGCTGCAACCGACCCATCTGGTCTCGGCACTGTCATTGTCCAGCTTCCGGATATCCTCGCCACGTCTACGGGGGATGCCCTGCCAACATCAACAGACGGTGTTTTGCCTGCGTCTTTCACCACAATATTCAGCACGTACGACGGCTCCATTCCGCTCACCACGACCCTGCCACCAGACGTTACCGACCTATCTGGTCTTGGAACTGTCATCGTTCAAATCCCCGCGAGTGCTACTTCCGATCCTTTGGCTGCTTCTTATACTACCATCACCAGCGGCTACACTGGTTTGGTCCCTCAGACCACCACCTTGGCGCCCGCGAATCCTGGAGATCTTGGAACAGTCGTCGTACAAGTCCCCAGCGCTACTGTCGATCCCGGAGTCTTCCTTACCACCGTCACAAGTGGCTATGATGGCTCAATTACTCAACTCACCACTCTGCCCGTTGCAACTATTGATGGTTCGACGATTCAAACTGTGATCGCACAGGTTCCTACCCTTGTGCCGACCGACTCGATTGATCTTGATGATCTCCTCGTCACTTTGACAAATGGCTATGACGGTTCTGTGACCTTGACAACAACATTGCCTGCGGTTACCATTGATGGATCGACAATCCGGTCTGTTATTGTTCAAGTGCCGACTCAGACAGCTCTGCCTGGTGTTTTCCTCACCACTCTTACAAGTGGCTACGATGGCTCAGTTACGCAGACAACCACCTTGCCTGTTGCTACTGTTGGAGGTCTTCCCATCCAGACCGTGGTTGTGCAGGTCCCTACTGCCACAGTCTCCGACGGAATCCAGTTCACCACTATCACCAGTGGTTACGACGGACTTCTTACCCAGACGACGAGCCTTCCCATTGGTACAGTCGGCGGCGTTCCGGTCCAGACAGTCGTTGTCCAAGTTCCTACCTCTACGGATCCTCTTGGCGCTCTGTACACAACTCTCACAAGCGCTTATCCCGGTTCGGTCACCCTGACCACCACTCTCGCTCCGGCTGGTACAGGTATTTCTGAGTTGGGTACTATTGTCGTCCAGGTGCCGTCCAATGTTCTCTCTGGCGCGACCCAGTACACTACTCTTACCAGTGGATACGACGGTTCTCTACTGCTTACGCAGACTGGATTCACCACCGGCGCAGATGGTCTCGCTACTGTTATCGTTTTGCAGCCAACTGGAACACTTACAGTTCTCCCGTCCAACAGTGCAAGCGCTACTGAATCTGGCGACCCTGCTTTATTCATTACGATCACAACTGGATATCCAGGCTCGGTCATCGCTACCCAAACTGACTCGGTCACTGGCCCTGATGGTCTCGTCACTGTCGTCGTCCAGACTCCCACGATCACCGCTCTGCCTAGTCTTGACTACACCACCATCACGAGCGGATATGACGGCTCGGTCCTGCAAACCCTTATTGGATCAGCCACGGGTGCAGACGGTCTTGCTACCGTCATTGTGCAGGTTCCTACTGGATCTATCACAGTCGCACCGGCGACGTCAGGAACTAGCGTGCCCGGCATCTCGTACACCACTGTCACTGAGACTTACGATGGCTCGTTCCTCCAGACGCTCATCGGCTCAATCCTTGGTCTTGATGGTCTCGCAACGGTTCTTGTGCAAGTTCCTAAAATCAGTATCGATATCTCGATCTCTCTTGGCTTGCCTTCCCTCGGACCGGGTGCCACTCCCCCGATTACCGTCGATCCTTCGGCTACTACCAGTGTCCCTGGCTTATCATACACCACCGTCACAAGTGGTTACGATGGCTCAATCGTCCAGACCCAGCTCGGATCCGTCACCGGTATCGATGGACTCGCCACTGCTGTCGTTCTGGTACCCAGCACCGCGGCCACTCTGCCGACTTCGGTTACTGAGAACATCATTTCGTACATCACGGTTACGACTGGCTACGATGGTTCTATCACTTTGTTCCAGACTATTGCACCCGCAGCTTCTGGCCTTCCTGGCACCGTCCTCGCCCAGATCCCCACTGCGGCAGGGCCCATCACGGCGCCGATAATCACCACGCCTTCACTTACCGGCTCAGGCGGAACTGTCACGGTCACATCGTTCGACCCGAGCATGACTGGTTCTGCTTTCATCACAACGACGTTGTCGCCCTCTCGTCTCAGTGACCCAGTCACGGTGCTCGTCGCGGTTCCTCGGCGACTCTTCTTGGTCACAACCTCGATCCCAGGCCTGTCATCTGTGCGTACGTCAACAATGTCCATCGGTCTCGACGGCATTCAGACCGTCATGGTACAGGTTCCAGCTCTCTCGACTCCCACAGCGCTGTCAACGCCTACAATTGGCGCGATCACCACCGTCACCACTCCTTATGCAGGCTCGGTTACTTTGATCCAGACCCAGACTCCAGTCAACATTGGCGACCCAACTACCGTGCTTGTTCAAGTTCCAGAGGCGCTGTTCGAGATCACCTCAACGCGCTTTGGAGCAACTTCTGCAGGAACGACCACGGTATCGCCAATTGGCACTGGTGTTCTCACAGTCATCATCGATATTCCGGGAGCCTTCTCTACCATCACAAGCGGATACTCCGGTCTCATTCCGTCTACCACCACGATCTTGCCCACTGGTCTTGATGACATTGGTCTTGTCATCATCCAGACGCCGAATGCCGACGTCAGCTCAATTGGAGGCACCGTCTTCAGTACCGCTCCTGGTACTGGTCTTATTCCGACTACCACCACGGTTACCGGTACTGATGGTATCGTGTCTGTGATTGTCGAGACTCCCACGATTGGCGTGACTTCTGGAGGCACCGTCTTCACCACCGTTCCGGGAACTGGCCTTCTTCCGACGGCCACCACCGTTACTGGTGCAGATGGAATTGTGTCTGTCATTTTCGAGACTCCCACTGTCTCGGCGACCGCCATTCCCACTACCGTCTTCACCACGGTACCCGGAACTGGATTTCTTCCTACAGCAACTACAGTCACTGGCGCCGATGGTGTTGTCTCTATCATCTTCCAGACTCCCACGACCTCGGGCGAGCTGCCCACGGTCTTTACCACGATCCCTGGAACTGGTGCTCTCCCTGCAACACTCACAGTCACCGGAACCGATGGACTGGTCTCAGTCATTTTCGAGGCACCCACAGTCACTTCAGGAGGTCTTCCCACGACCATCTTCACCACCGTTCCTGGCACCGGTCTGCTTCCCGAGGCCACGACTGTTACGGGCGCAGATGGCATCGTTTCGGTCATCTTCCAAACACCCACAACGGCTGCACCAGGCGCACCGACTACCGTCTTTACCACGGCACCTGGCACTGGTCTCTTGCCCGCGACCACCACGGTCACCGGCGCTGACGGCATCGTCTCCGTCATCTTCCTCGACCCTGACACCTCTGGTGAGCCTACAATCACGCCAACCGCGGCCACCACCGTCTTCACCACCATCCCAGGCACTGGAGTCCTCCCCGCCACCAACATTGTTACCGGTCCCGATGGAGTGGTCTCGGTCATTGTCTCCGAGGCCACGGCCACAAGCATCTCTGGAGTTTCATACACCACTATTACCACGGGAGGCCCGGCTTTGGCTACAAGAACCATCCTGCCATCCGTTCTTGGTGATTTGGCAACCGTTATTGTCGAGACTCCCACTTTGGGTGCCAGTCCTGGTGCTTTCATCACGGTCACCTCAGCTGGCCCCGTCCCGACTACTTTCACCCTCCTCCCGGCTTCTCTGGGCGAAACCGGTACTGTTGTGATTGTTCCGACCACATCCTCGGACCTGGCTGTCGACCCGGCTCTGTCATTCACCACAGTCTTCTCGGCCGGCCCAGTCCCTACGACTCTTACAATTTTGCCAGCTATTTCTGGAGACCTCGGCACTATCATCGTGGTCCCGACAGCATCTTCAGACCTTCCCATTGATCCGGCACTTTCACTCACTACTGTGTTCTCTGCTGGTCCTATCCCGACAACCTTCACCCTCCCCCCTGCAGTCAGCGGACTGCCAGGCACGGTTGTGATCGTTCCTTCAGTAACCTCTTCGGACTTGCTTGTCGACCCTGCTCTCGAATACACCACTGTGTTCTCTGCTGGCCCCATCCCGACGACCTTCACTCTTGCTCCAGCATCCAGTGGGTTGCCAGGCACAGTCGTGGTCGTCCCCTCGACGACTTCTTCGGACCTGCTCGTCGACCCGGCTCTCGAGTACACCACCGTATTCTCCGCTGGTCCCGTTCCCACCACCTACACCCTACCTCCGGCAGTCAGCGGTCTTCCTGGCACGGTGGTTGTTGTTCCATCAGCAACCTCGTCAGATTTGCTCGTTGACCCCGCCCTGCAATTCACCACCTTCTTCTCTGCGGGTCCTGTTCCGACGACTTTCACAATCACTCCGGCTGTCAGCGGCTCTCTTGGCACAGTTGTCATTGTGCCGTCAGCAACTTCTTCGGACTTGCTCATCGACCCCGCCATCCAATATACGACCGTCATCTCTGCGGGTCCTATTCCTACGACTTACACAATCCTTCCCGCAGCAAGTGGTCTCCCTGGTACAATTGTCGTTGTTCCTACAACTTCATCCGATCTGTCGATCGACCCCGCCCTCTCACTTACAACGGTTTTCTCTGCGGGTCCAATCCCGACGACCTACACCCTTCCTCCAGCAGCAAGTGGTCTTCCAGGAACCGTCGTTGTGGTCCCGACCGCTTCGTCCGATCTGCCTATCGACCCGGCATTGTCGTACACAACCGTCTTTTCTGCCGGTCCCATTCCCACGACGTTCACTCTGCCGCCCCTGTCAAGCGGTCTTCCTGGTACTGTGGTGGTGGTTACGTCCGCCACCTCGGGTTTGCCAATCGACCCTGCGCTGTCATACACAACAATCTTCTCCGCTGGTCCTATCCCAACCACCCTCACGATTCCGCCTGCGGCGAGCGGCCTTCCAGGCACCGTCATTATCCAGTCTCCTGGCGTCTTCTTCGACACGATTACATCGACGTACGATGGGACCGCTCCCGCCTTGTCGACTGTCTTCCCTACTGCGGCTGGTGAAACCGGTACCGTTATCGTCCTTGTGCCTTCCGGCCTTGTACCTTCTGCCACGGTGCCGTTGACGACACCGACTCTCACCCGCAGCCAGGTAACGATCACCTCTCTCTACACTGGCAGGATTCGCTTCAGCACCACCATTGGCGTCAGCATCCAAGGAGACCCAACTCTTCCCGACACGGTCGTTGTGTACGTCCCCTTCACCGAGGGTGTATCTGCGACACCGACAGCAACCCCTGGTGCAGTCACGACGATTTTCACCGGAATCCCCGGAACGTTCGCGGGACCTCAGACTACCACTCTACCAGTCGGCGCAGATGGTGTGGAAACAGTCCTCATCCAGACTGCTATTCCTGCGCTCACTCCCACTGCTACTGGTCTCACCACAATCTTCACTGGCATCCCGGGAACTTTCGTAGGCCCCGTCACCACAACATTGCCTGCTGGCCCCGACGGCATCCAGACAGTTCTTATTCAGACTGCTCTTCCTGGTGTCACTCCTACCGTCACTGGTCTCACTACGATTTTCACTGGCGTTCCGGGAACTTTCGTGGGTCCTATCACCACGACACTGCCCGCTGGACTTGATGGTATCGAAACGGTACTCATTCAGACTGCCCTTTCCGGCGTTGTTCCGACTGCCACTGGGCTTACCACACTCTTCACCGGCATTCCAGGAACTTTCGTGGGAAGCTTGACGACAACGCTTCCGGCCGGCCTTGATGGCATTGAAACAGTATTGATCCAAACTGCTTTGCCTAGCATTACGCCGACCGCTACTGCCGTCACGACCGTTTTCACTGGTATTCCCGGAACATTCTTGGGTTCCCTGACGACGACGCTTCCCGCCGGCCCTGATGGTATCGAAACCGTTCTCATCCAGACTGCGTTATCAGGAGTCGTCCTGAGCGCGACCGCTGCCACGACAATCTTCACGGGTGTTCCTGGCACCTTCTTGGGTTCTGTGACAACCACTCTACCTGCTGGACTTGATGGTATCGAGACCGTTCTCATCCAAACAGCTCTTCCAACGGTAGGCCCTACAGCTAGCCCGACCGCCGGCCCGACCGCAGTTACTACGGTATTTACGGGTATCCCAGGAACCTTCATAGGATCCCTGACAACCACTTTACCCGCCGGCCCAGATGGTATCGAAACTGTTCTGATCCAGACCGCGTTGACTGCTATCCCAAGCGCAACTGGCCTGACGACGGTCTTCACCGGTATCCCTGGCACTTTCATCGGTCCTGTGACAACAACCTTGCCCGCTGGCCCTGATGGAATCGAGACGGTCCTCATTCAGACTGCTCTTAGCGCTATCCCGACAGCTACTGGTTTGACAACGATCTTCACGGGCATTCCTGGCACGTTGGGTCCTCTCACGACCACACTCCCGGCTGGTCTTGACGGCATTGAGACCGTTCTCATCCAAACTGCTTTGAGTGCTATTCAGACCGCTACTGGCCTTACCACCGTGTTCACTGGAATCCCAGGCACTTTTGTTGGACCCGTCACAACAACTCTTCCGGTCGGTCCAAATGGTATCGAGACGGTGCTTATCCAGACTGCTCTGCCTACAGCAAGCCCGACCGCAGTTACTACCATATTTACTGGTATTCCCGGAACATTTTTGGGCTCTTTGACATCTACTCTGCCCGCCGGTCTTGACGGCATTGAGACGGTACTCATCCAGACCGCCCTGCCTACGGCTACCGCTGGCGCGATTACCACAATCTTCACCGCCGTTCCTGGAAGTTTCTCTGGGGTCCGCACTACAACGCTGCCAGTCGGTCTCGATGGTATCGAGACTGTCCTTATTGAGAGTGCCTTGTCAACCGCTCCCCCGAGTGTCACTGTCACGTACACGACCATCTTCTCGGGCATCGTTGGCACGTTTGCTGGACCTCAAACGTCCACACTCCCCGCCGGACCTGATGGTATCGCAACTGTCATTATTGCTTCTGCAATCCCGTCTGAGAGCATTCGCTTCACCACGATCCTCACAGGTCTCCCAGGAACATTTACCGGCACTCAGGTCACCACCTTGCCGGTCGGAACCGACGGCATTGCGACTGTGTTGTTGCAAACTGCTCTGCCGACAGTTTCTCCCGTGTCATACACGACTGTGCTCACTGGCATCCCAGGAACATTCCTCGGTACCCAAGCTACTACATTGCCAGCGGGCACAAACGGAATTGCTACCGTGTTGCTTCAAACTGTCTTGCCCACTATCGCACCTGTTTCCTACACAACTCTGTTCTCGGGTGTGCCTGGTACCTTCGCGGGCACCGTGGCCACGACGCTCCCTACCGGCACGGACGGCATCGCAACTGTCATCTTCCAGACTGCCATCCCCACGCCCACAGTCTCGTCGCCAGGAGTTTCATATACTACGATCTTCTCGGGCTTGCCAGGTACATTCATCGGCACTTTGGCAACCACCCTGCCCGTGGGAAGCGACGGCATCGCCACAGTTATCTTCCAAACTGCTCTCCCTACGCCTACAAGTACCCCTGGTGCTTCGTACACGACTATTCTGACTGGTGTACCGGGAACCTTTATTGGTACTCTGTCAACCACTTTGCCTGCTGGCCCTGATGGTCTTGGTACTGTTCTCTTGCAAACTGCTCTGCCGATTGCAACCTCAACTCCTCCTGGACTGCAGTATACCACGATTCTTACTGGTGTTCCGGGAACGTTTGCTGGAACCCAAACCAACACTTTGCCGTTGATTTCCGGTGCCACGATCGGAACGGTTCTTTTGGAGACCGCCGTTCCCACCGCCAGCCCGATCGAATACACGACGCTGCTTACTGGCGTTCCGGGTACTTTCATCGGAACCCAGACAACCACGCTCCCGATCATCAGCGGCACTGTTGGCACAGTCCTGATTCAGACTGCTCTGCCTACCGCTCAAAGCATTGATATTACGTACGTCACCGTCATCACCGGCGTCCTGGGCACATTCCCTGGAACCCGCGCTTCGACGGCCCAGCCTACTGGAACCCAGCGAACCGGGACCGTCTTCTTGGAGACCGCGATTCCTGCAATCACGTCGAATGCGGCTTCGTACGTCACAATCGTCACTGGAATACCGGCAACCTTTACTGGTACCCAGACCCGAACCTTGTCTGGTATTGGAGCCGATGGCCTCGGCACTGTTCTCTTGGAGACCGCGCTGCCCATCACAAGCCCAATCTCCTACACAACCATCTTCTCTGGCATTCCTGGAACGTTTATCGGTACACAGGCTCTTACTCTGGCTCCTGGTACTGATGGATTAGGTACCGTTGTCTTACAGACAGCCATTCCCTCGGCCCCTGTTCAATCGTTCACAACCATCTTCTCCGGTATCCCGGGTACGTTCCTTGGAACTCAAACTCGTACTATATCTGGTACTGGCGCAGATGGCCTCGGAACGGTTGTGTTGGAGACGGCGTTGCCAACGGCACTCGCTCAGTCCTACACGACCATCTTTTCTGGCGTTCCGGGCACCTTTGTCGGCACTTCAACGCTTACCCTCCCGGGCACTGGCACGAACGGCCTCGGCACTGTCGTTCTTCAGACAGCCCTTCCTACTGCGCTCGCGGCTTCGTACACGACGGTCTTCTCTGGCATCCCAGGAACATTCCTGGGAACCCAAACTCGCACCCTCTCTGGAACTGGTGCAGACGGCCTTGGTACAGTTGTTTTGGAGACTGCTTTGCCTACGGCATTGGCCCAGTCTTATACCACGATTTTCTCTGGCGTCCCTGGCACGTTCGTGGGAACTTCGACGCTCACTCTGCCTGGCACTGGTATCGACGGACTTGGCACGGTCGTTCTTCAGACGGCTATCCCTACTGCAAGCCCAACTGTGAGCCTTCAGTTCACCACGCTTGTTACGGGTATTCCTGGATCCTTCATCGGAACCCAGACGACTACTCTACCTGTCGTTGGTACTGGCAACTTAGCCACGGTACTACTCCAGACTGCCGTTCCTGTGGTGTCTTACGTGACCCAGGTCACGGGCCTTCCGGGCACTTTCGTTGGAACAAGCACGCGAACCCTGCCTATCGCCGGCACAGGCAACGTGGGAACGATTCTCCTGGAGACCGCCGTTCCTTTGGCTTCGTTCACGACCATCTTCAGTGGCGTCCCTGGCACATTCGCCGGAACGCAGACTCGCACTTTACCAGCTCTTGGCACTGACGGTCTGATTACGGTTGTTCTTGAGACTGCTATACCCGAGGCTACTTCATCGGCTCTGCCGTCTGTCACGGTCATCAACACGTCATATGTCACGATCATCACGGGTATCTTTGGTTCTTTCGATGGAACTCAGACAACGACCCTTCCTGCCGCGGTCACCAATCCTGGCTTGGTCACTGTAGTCCTTCAAACTGCCATCCCCAGCGCTGGCACAACTGCGTTCACCACGATCCTCACAGGCATCCCTGGCGCCACTTTCCCCGGCACCAGGACGAGCACTTTGCCCGTCATTGGAACTCTCGGAACTGTACTCCTCGAGACAGCCATTCCCAGCGTCCCCGCGACTTCGTTCACGACGATCTTCACTGGAGTACCAGGAGCCACGTTCGTCGGCACCCAGTTCAGCACTCTGCCTGTCACCGGTTCCATTGGCACCGTTCTCGCAGAGACTGCTCTCCCTGCCATCCCGACAACGTCGCTCACCACCATCTTCACTGGTATTCCTGGAGCTACTTTCATCGGTACGCAATTTTCGACTCTGCCCGCTACTGGAACGATCGGCACGGTATTGGCTCAAACCGCGCTCCCTGCCCTTCCGACGACCTCGTTCACCACGATCTTCAGTGGAATTCCAGGAGCTACTTTCGTTGGTCCTCTCACCACCACGCTTCCAGTTACTGGCACGATTGGCACCGTTATCATCGAGAGTGCACTGCCCGCGGTGATTTCGTACATCACCGTTCCAACTGGCGTGCCCGGCGCAAGCTTCATCGGCACCCAGTTCTCTACCCTACCCCTCACTGGTGCCATTGGTACTGTCTTGGCTCAAACCGCGCTCCCGGCTGACATTTCGTATGTCACGATTCCCACCGGAGTACCTGGGGCTACCTTCATCGGAACCCAACTCACCACTCTCCCGGTGACTGGTACTATTGGTACGGTTTTGGCTCAAACTGCCATCCCCAATGCAGTCACGTCTTATACCACGGTCCTCACCGGTGTCATCGGCACCTTTGCCGGCACACGAGCAACAACTCTTCCCGTTACTGGCACCCTTGGAACCGTGCTCTTGGAGACAGCTCTTCCAGTGCCAACGTCGTACACGACGCTCATCACCGGAATCCCGGGCACATTTATCGGCGCTCAGACAACTACCTTGGCAGGCTCAGGAACGGTCGGCACCGTACTTATACAGACGGCGCTGCCTCTGCCACCAGTCACTTCGTACACCACGATCCCGACTGGCACCATCGGCACGTTCGCCGGCACTCAGACAATCACCTTGCCGCTTACTGGCACTTTGGGCACCGTTTTGCTCCAGACCGCCATCCCGCCTATTGTTACTGGCTACACCACGATTACTCGCGGCGTCACTGACACGTTTGTGGGCACTCGTACTTCAACGGGCCCGGTCAGCGGAACGCTGGGTACGGTATTCGAGGAAACGGCTATTCCGCCTTTGTCTACATCATACGTCACTCTCGTCACTGGTATTATCGGGACATTTGCGGGTACGCAGACGACGACTTTGCCCGTTACTGGAAACATCGGCACCGTCTTGCTTGAGACTGCTTTGCCTGTTCCAACTTCCTACACGACAATCTTGACTGGCGCTCCTGGCACTTTCATTGGCACTCGCGTGACGACGCTACCCGTCAGCGGCACCCTTGGTACCGTTCTTTTGCAGACGGCGTTGCCCATCCCAACGTCATACGTTACAGTCACAACCGGCATTCCGGGCACCTTCACTGGTACTCAGGTATCAACGATCCTAGGATCTGACACTATTGCCACCGTGGTGCTTCAAACGGCCCTTCCCTTCCCTACCTCGTACACCACACTCCTCACTGGTGCCCCTGGCACCTTTGTTGGTACCAGAACTACAACTTTGCCGGTTTCTGGCACCCTCGGAACTGTCTTGCTCCAAACTGCTCTCCCTCTGCCGACATCATATGTCACGCAGACTACGGGTATCCTTGGTGCTACCTTCCTTGGCACCCAGACAACGACAATTGGAACTGGAACCTTGGCCACAGTACTCCTCGAGACGGCCCTTCCCTTCCCTACATCGTACACCACGATATTCACAGGTGTCCCTGGAGCCACTTTCCCAGGAACGCAGACGGTTACTCTCTCTGCTACCGGCACCCTGGCAACAGTCTTGGTTCAGTCCTCAGTTCCAATTCCGACGTCATACACAACCGTCTTCACAGGCATTCCGGGAGCCACCTTTGCTGGACCTCAGACTTCTACACTCGTAGGGTCTGGATCCATCGCAACTGTGCTCATCCAGACTGCTCTGCCAATCCCGACATCGTACACCACGATCGTCACTGGCCTTGCCGGAACTGTATTCCCCGGAACCCAGACGGTTACGCTTTCGGCCACGGGAACCCTCGGAACCGTTCTGCTTCAGACCGCCATTCCGTACACGACCGTTCTCACAGGAATTCCTGGAACATTCATCGGAACCCAGGCAATCACTATTCCTCCGGTCGGAAGCCAGCTTGGAACAGTCCTTCTTCAAACCGCCTTGCCGCTCTCATACACCACAGTTACTAGTGGAATCACGAGCGACTTCACCGGCACAAGGACCCTTACTCTTGATGGCACGGGCACCAATGTCCGAACTGTTGTCTTGGAGACTGCTATCCCTGCCCAGGTCATTGTCTCTTACACGACAATCATCACAGGTATTCTCGGCACTTTCGCCGGCACTCAGACGTCTACAGTTCCCACAACTGGGCCTGGCCAGAGCCTCGTCACCGTTTTCTTAGAGACCGCTATTCGCCCGATTTCGTTCACGACAGTCTTTAGCGGAGTCATCGGCAACTTTGCAGGCACTTCAACCGTTACTCTTCCCACGACCGCCGGCCAGGCCCTTGGTACCGTGGTTCTGCAAACCGCGCTGCAAACCACATCCTACATCACGATTCCTTCGGGCGTACCTGGCAACTTCCAAGGCACCTCACTCATCACCTTGGACGGCACTGGTCTCATCAGAACTGTTATCGCAGAGACAGCCTTGCCCACAACATCGTACACGACGATTGTGTCAGGAGTTGCTGGTAACTTTCAGGGCACTTCTCTCATCACTCTGTCAGGCACTGGTCTCATCCGAACTGTTATTGCCGAAACCGCGATCCCAACGACTGGTTACGTGACGATTCCCACCGGCGTGCCCGGCAACTTTGCTGGAACCTCGCTCATCACCCAGTCTGCCGCTCCTGGCGCCACGCTCATCACCGTCTTAGCCCAGACAGCCATTCCGACCACCGGCTATGTGACCATTCCCACTGGCGTCCCGGGTAACTTCCAGGGTACGTCTTTGATCACGCAGTCGGCTGCCGCAGGTGCCACGTTGATTACTGTGTTGGCTCAAACCGCCATTCCCACGACGGGATACGTGACAATTCCCACGGGTGTACCTGGAAACTTCCAGGGCACAGCTTTGATCACGCAGTCCGCCGCCGCAGGAGCAACGCTCATCACCGTATTGGCCCAAACAGCCATTCCTACTACAGGTTATGTGACAATCCCGACTGGCGTCACTGGCAACTTCGCTGGCACATCCTTGGTCACTCAGTCCGCTCCCGCAGGTGCGACGTTGATTACGGTGCTGGCTCAGACTGCTATCCCTACAACAGGATATATCACCATTCCCACTGGTGTTACTGGCAACTTTGCCGGCACGTCTTTGGTTACTCAATCTGCTGCCGCAGGAGCTACTCTCATCACGGTTCTGGCACAGACGGCCATTCCGACGACGGGATACATCACCATCCCTACCGGTGTAACAGGCACGTTCCAAGGCACGTCTCTGGTCACGCAATCCGCAGCTGCTGGCGCTACCCTTATCACTGTTCTCGCGCAGACAGCTCTGCCAACAACCCGCTTCACTACCATCCCGACTGGTGTTGCGGGCAACTTTGCCGGCACGTCGTACGTTACTCAATCTGCTGCTGCGGGAGCTACCGTTATCACGGTCCTCGCGGAGACGGCTATCCCGACCACGAGCTACGTGACCGTCCCAACTGGAGTTCCTGGAACCTTCCAAGGCACCTCGCTGGTGACTCAGTCAGCCGCCGCGGGCGCTACTCTGATCACGGTTCAGGCACAGACAGCCCTGCCTATCACGACGACGACGACCGTCCTTACCGGTGTCCAAGGTGTTTTCGCTGGGACTTCATACCTCACCCTTACTGGCAGCGGAACTATCGTCACTGTTCTCGCCCAGACTGCCCTGGCTCAGACTTCCTACGTGACCATCCCCTCTGGAGTGCCTGGCGCTACTTTCACCGGTACGTCATTGGTCACTCAGTCTGGAACAGGTCTTGTCAGGACGGTCATCGCAGAAACTGCCCTGCCCACGACAACATATGTCACAATTCCTACGGGTGTTGTTGGAGCTACCTTTACCGGCACCTCCTACGTTACTCAGAGTGGCACCGGTCTCATCAGGACCGTTCTCGCCGAGACAGCAATCGCACCAACGACGACATACGTCACTGTTCCTTCTGGAGTCACTGGAGCCTCTTTCACTGGCACTTCTCTCATTACCCAATCGGGCACTGGGCTGACCAGAACCGTCATTGCGGCCACGGCCGTTCCCATCTCGACCGTCTATACGACCATCCCGACTGGAGTTGGCGGTTCTTTCACAGGAACTCGCTACTCCACCGTAAGCGGCACCGGCAGTCTCATCACTGTATTCGCGCAGACTCGCATTCCCACGGCCACACGTGTCGTTACGCAGACGTCCTCGCCATCGGGATGTATCCCCACGCCCGTCGCAAGCCCTACTGGACGCTGCATCACTCAAGCACAAGTCAATGCAGTTCCGATCCCGACTCAATGCTCCATCTTGGATCAGACCCTCCTCGGCGGGGTGCTCACCACTCCTAGTCCGTCGCAGCTCGCCGCTTGTCAAGCCGCGTTGGGCAACTATGCCACCATCCCTCAGGTTGCGGCTTGTACCGTATCCGGACTCAGGCTCCTCGGCACATATGCCGACTGTATCAGGACCGGTCTTGCCAGTGCAATTGGCTGTGTCACAAGTCTGCCGCTCTCATGTACTCAGATCGAGGCTGCCACGGGTGTCGCCGCCATTACGGCGCAAGCCAATGTCTGTATCGCCAATTTGGGGATTTTCGGATATTCTGGACTTTTCGGCAACACCGTTAACTTAGCAGCTTGCATCACAAACAATGCAGCTACTTCTGGTCTGGCGGTCCTCAACTGCATCGAACAGGGCACCGGCCTGCCCATCAACAGCTCCAGAGCAAACACGGCGGTGCTATGCCCATCAGGAACAGCTTGCCCGCAGGTTCCCACGGCTTGCGGAGCTCTTCTGGATGCGTCGTTCAACTTGACGAACGGTCTCAATGCCCAGGTCAACCTCTGTCAGGCGGCCCTGGTGGTCAATTCCATTCCAAACGTTCTCAGCACGACTCTTGCAGACCCCTTGGGCACAGTTGGCTGTCTGGTCGACGGTCTTCTGAGCTCGTTACAAATCGGCCAGTGTATCGTGCAGAAGATCCAATCCGCCTGTATCACCAGCTTGCCCCAGACCTGTCTGAACATCGGCGTGGGCGCCCAAGCAAGCGGCCTTGCCAGCAACGTGAACGCGGCGGTATCAGTCACGGATCTCCTCAGCTGCGTCACGAGTCTCGGCTTGCTGGCGAACAGAGTCGACCCTAACTGCTTCAACGTCAGCTTGGGCTCACAGGGCATCGTTTCTTGCCTGAACCTCAGCTTGTTCGGCGTCGCCACCGTCAACGTTGTCACCAAATAAGGTGGCTTGACTACCTCTCTCTATGCATTTTTTCTTATGTTCAATGGTGTTGGAGGAAATGAAATTGTTTGGAGGGGAGAAAAAGCACCCACTACTCCCCCTGTTTTTATGTTCAGAATTACGCTGGCTTCTCTTGCGCCGATTAAGCAAGACGTTACTTTTACAGACACAAGACTGTTAATCATGTAATCATAATATCAATACCACCTTCATTTGTTCAACATTTCGTAACTCAGTCTGTGACCTGCAACATGAAGTTCATCTGAAAAGACGTGATATGCGGAATGCAGGATTGGCAAATCGGCGATAGACTGTTCACTAACTCAGCTGATTTGGAGGGGCTTGAGGCGGCCTAAAAGACCTAGATGCTCAGTGCACTGCGGGGAGCATGTACGCTGAAGTCGGCGGCCTTGACTCGCATCATAAGGGCGAAGGGTGGCATGAGATGACAGGTGCTAGGACACCAGGGGAGGATAGGACTCACAGTGACAGATCCTGGATGAACCGAACGTACCAGCCCTTGCAGGACTGACATAACAGTCCCCTGAAGCTCGCTGTGGGCCTGGTCGTGCCACTAAAGATTAGGGCTCCTAGACACAGGAAGAGCATTGCTCTTTTACCTGCAACAGACATTGTCAGACGGCAAGACTCTCACTAGGTACTCTCAGGTAACATCATCAATCAGATTTCAATCGAGTGAAATTGCTTAAACAAATATTGGTATTATTCATGTCTCATAACCCAGTGGGTTCGTCTTCGCCGCCGTCTACACAGAGTCCGCATACTCCCAAATGTGCTTCTCGATAACGTCGAGCGACTTCATCTCCTCGTTCTCCTTCTTGATCTCCATGACCCTCTTCTTGTACTTGTCGTTCGCCAGCACATCCTCAACACCCTCGGCGACCTGCTGGGGCGTTGGCTTGCCAGTCTTGAGGTTGTGCGCCACACCCGTCCACTCGCCGCGCATCGAAATCTCGGGCTTGTCCTCGGTGTCGCCGCCAAGCACCATCGGCACGCCGTTGACGATGCCGTGCAAGAATCCACCGTACCCGGCGTTCAAGACCCACACGTCGGCGTACTGCAGCAGAGCATCATAGGAGAGGAAGTCGGCGACCCTCGTGTTGGCGGGGATTTGCAGTTCCTCCGGCAATGCGGCACCCTTGACGCCGAGGATGGCGACGACGATGATATCGTCGCGGTGCGCCAGTCCCTGAATCGTGGGGATGATGAGGTCGGTGTACTCCGTTGCGACGGTACCTTGAGCCACGCCAACAATCTTCTTGTTGCCGGCTGTGATGTCGCTCCACCACTCGGGATACTTGTAGTTGGGATCGATGGGCTTGGGAGGCAGGCAGCCGGCGAACTTGATCACCTCTGGGTGGTCTGAACGGGGGTATTCGAGGCTTGGCGAGCACATCTGAAGAGTGACGTCGTAGCTTGTCTGCCATGTCTCGAATAGCGAAGGGGACAGTTCCTTGGTTGCTCCTAGGGACTTGAGCACTTTGGTGTACTCCTGAGCTGGCTGGCCAAAGGGACCAAAGGGGCTAAAGAACATCTCGTTGAGAAGCTTGTTCCGAGCTCGGCCAGAATAGGTCGAGTCGGGAGGGAGGCCAGGGCCGAACGGGGCAGTGTCCTGGCTTGTCACGACGATTGGGACGATGTTGATGTCGACTACCGGTGGCCTCGTCGTGAAGCCCTTCGGGAGGGGTGCGCCGTACATCATGGGAGCAAGACCCATGAAGAAGGTCTCATGAACGATGATGACTTGCTGAGACGGACGTCTCTCGCGAATCTTCTCCAGCGTGTTCATAATGGTTCTGAACAAGTCTGGAATAGGCTTGATGAAGACCTCGTTGAGGTCGAAGATGAGGCGGGGGATGCCAACGGGAACCTTGTTCCGGACTTCATTGAACTCCTCGGTAATCATGGGTGGGATGGGAATGTGCTCGGCGCCCATTCGCTTGAGCTGAGGCTTGAATTCTTCGCCGGCGATAAAAGTGGCCTCGAAGCCCCTCTGGATCATCTCCGCGGCGATCTGGAGAAGAGGATAGGTGTGGCCGGTGGCAGGGGCCGCGGCGAACAGGAGGTAGGGACGCTTCTTGTTGCCGTCACCGACACCGTCGATGGCTACAGCCTCGACGGCCTCGACCAGTGAGTCTCCGGATATCGTCATGGTGCTCGGCCTGTTTGTTCGATGTTGGAGATTGAAAATGCCCAATTGTAAAGACTGGAAGTGATATCTTGATGCTGATGAGGGGTGAAAACCGGGGCTTCAAGAGATCGTTCGAGGAGGGTTGCGACGGTGTATATAAGTGGTTGGACATATGAGTGACCTGTAGATGTGGAGCCTCAAAGCGACAACACGAAGAACAAACGTCCCGCTACTCGACCAGATGTCATCCGCTAAGCCGGGGAGCCACACGCGTCAAAGACCGCATGGCTGTGTATGGTTGCGTTGTCGCTGAAGTCTGACGACAGATTTTAGTCTGGCGGATAGCTACAAGCTTGGGAGAATGGGAATTCCAAAAAAGGCACAAAGCAGATCAAAAGGTCCAATCACTTAGGCCCTTTCTTGAGCTCGACAGCCCTCCAAAGCCCTGTGAGGTTGTCAGACAACTCACATTCTCGACCTCCCGTGATGCCATTCGTCGAAGCTCGGCCTCGGAGATCTAATCATGTGCGGGCGAGAGACGCAGTGGTAGGTTTGGGTACTCAAGGCCCTCTGCCAAGTGTCGATGCCTCTGCGTTTGATGATGGCATTGGAGTGGGAAAACGGCCCGCAGGATCAGGGTCCTTGCAGGTTTAGCCTCAGCCATAAGCGCGATTCTGAGATGGGCGAATTGCTTTACCTAGTGCGGTTGCGAATTGGGCTAATAGTCTCAACCGCGTGAATGATGTAAGGCAGCAAGATTTCCTTAGCCTCACGGCATTCGCGTTCCGTCCAACGGATGATCTGCTTGGTTGCAACGTAGGCAGCGAGAATCAGGCAAAAGATCGGCACTACCGATAAGTCGGATAGATACCGACGGGACATTGAGGCAGCCTTGACCTCTTGGGACATGCCACCAAGACGTCTTGCTCCTGATTTCGAGGACCACCACATACGTATTGATGTGCTGATTTGCGGGCTGCGTCTAGACAAGCTTCGCATCAGAGACATCCCGCGCGCTTCCTATGGCTGCACATTTGTCCATACGGCTACTCGTATAAGTGCAGAAATTCGCGAGAGCGCGTCGTGGCAGAACCTGTACGTGTACAAATCGATTGGCTCGCAGGGTGGAATTATCACAGCCGAAGACGTCCTCGCATGCATGTAAGCTGACACGGCCAGGTGGACATGCCTTGGCGAGTAGAAATGTGAAATGATATCGAATCTAGACAATAATCGAGACATCGGGGACTTTCGTTTTGGAACACGGCGAAGGGACACGCCGACTGTCCGAAGCACAAAAAGAGCCGCAGCTTACCGGGTTTGCCAGGTACCGCTCAGATCGCTAAGCGCAAGCACATGCTGCTGTGGATTGCCTGCCGAAGAAGAAAAATGTCTTTAACCTGAAGCAGTCCGGATCATCGCCAGAGACCCATGTTGAAGCACCGAGCGGCAGCGGGGTCACGATGCGGGAGAACAGGGCTCTAAGTGACAGCAATTGCGCCGGGCCGCGCGCGGGCTTGTTGGCATTGGATGTCACCAAGTCCCGCGCGGCACGGGATGATGCACTTTGAGACACAACGGACGATTCGATGTTGATGCTTATCAATCTGGAGTGCAGATGTCGTAGAACGTGCTTGGCAATGTCTTGTGCTGCTGCATGGAACCTTCATTCGCGTCTTTGCCGAGCCGCGAAGGCGCGCCGACCGTTTTGTTTTGCTTTCTCCGCCGCTGATCAATACAATTCCCCCAAACGCCTGATCGTTGAACAATCCCAAGCCGTCCCAAATGTCCGTTATGCCGATGCTGCAGTCGCCGGTCCGCCGATCAACAAATGCGCGATGTTGATTACTCCATATGTACCGTATCATTGCGCTGCGACCCCTTTTCCTTTTCGGTCCCCTGAGCGTCCAAAAATCTCTCGCAGACTCCACGATTTCTTGTCGGAGCCATCGGATGACCCAGAGGAGTAGAATGTAGAAAGCTTCGATAGTGATGAGGTGGATTTCGTCGCGCCGTAGACTTCGGTCGGTCGTCCTGCAAAGAGATACCATCAGCATCGTATTTACATGTCCCACAGAGTCAGAGTTGAACCCACTGATATTTCCAGCGCCACCGATTCCGTAGCCCCTGAATTGGCGATCCCTCACCGCAGTCTCCTTCACATCGTGTTCCTCCTCGGTATCGCTGCTCGCGTCATCCAAGCTTCTCCTCCTCCTCACATTGACAGGCGGTACAGTGCTCCCTGCCACGCCTGACTCAAATCTTGGGGTTGTGGGTGTCGTCCCGCCCGCGGCGACCGGGGATGGCAGCACCGACGCCGCGGGCCGCAGATTCACGGTGGAAACGCTGCGGACGACGGCCAATCGGCCCTGGACGCGAACTCGGTGTTGCTGCCGCTTCCGCGCGGGTAGGAGCTGGTTTGTCTCGGGATCCATCTCGGCCATGTCGTCCTGCGAGCGGCGGAACTGGTTCTGGAGGGAGATCATGGCGTCGTGGATTGGCATGGACGGGCGGCTTTCGGGTAGGTGCAGCTCGATCGTATTTCGAATCACGCACGAATGGGCGGTCAGTTCTTGGGGTTACGGTCGCAATGGGGTTTCTCGCGGCCAAGAGAATGCAACGAAGGCCGAAAGTCGCATGAGAAGGCTGCAGACCGAGCTGGAGCCTGGGAAAACCAAAAACAAATGAGCGGACGCGACAGATGACAAATGTCGTCGCAAGAAATGAAGGTCGTCAGGAGCTATTCCATCGATTCGCGAGGCCGAAACAGCGAAGAAGGAGAAGAAAACGACTGAACGTCACACTATCGATGCTAATCATGGGCACCACATCAAGCTAAGATGCCGAGCCAGCGTCGCTGAGCTCAGCCATGGTCCATGGAGCAGACAGCCCGACTAATTCTCTGTGTGCTTGCTCTCTTTCTGCCTGGAAATGGCACTCCAAGATAAGGAAGCGGCGCAACCAACCCCAAGCAGACGGCTCTCAAAGCGATTTCCTTCTGTCAAACATTCCAGCAATCAAATCAGGCGCCCCGAGCCGTTGCTTGTGGCGGCCAAGTTCCCCTCATTAAACCTTGCATTGAGGCTGCCGGGGTGCCCTGAACGTGGGTGGTTTTGGGGGTAACATCGCCATGGAACCAGCCCTGATTTGCGCCAGGGCACGTCTTAGTTCGACGGCTTTACCGGCTTGCTCGGATGAAGTCTCGATGTTTGATGGACACTGATTGTTCCCCATTCTCGAGGGTTTGCTACTTGGGCTTGGGGGGAAGTTGAGGAGAAGGCGGGCATTCGATGCCAGCTTCGATACCCCTGAATCCTTCATCTGAAGTTCCAACAACGCGAACAAGCGGCGCAGCAAAGGTGCCTCCCACAGCAGACCAGCTACCGTTGGAACCCAAAATCCGCGCGTGGGACGAGATGGCAGTGTGACAGGGGGACAGGGGGCGCACCATGTTGCTCGATTGGGCAGCCAGGTAAGCAGCCACTGTGAGCCATTGGCTCCTGGCGTGGAGTTGGTCAGCTAGCGCCTCGCGCAGCCAGGATGGCGGTGTTATCGTCGGGGCAATTAACTTTGCTGCCAGGAACAAACTGCTGGAGGATCAACAAACCGTCAGAAAATATTTGCCTCGTATTTTCTACTGCCAAACTATCAAGTTCATCCCATAGAGAGGCTGCACTGGAATGAAGAACCGCCACCGTCAATGAGCCGTAGATCTTTATTATCTGGGCCAGAACACTCTGTTCATCGTCTTGACTGAAGCAATAGAAAGCACAGCCAGACCAGAGACTGCAGACCGCCGCCGGAACAGAGCAAGTAGGATCTCAAGTTGCATAGAACTTCCCGCATAGCTTCCCATGCAACACCCCACTGGAGAAGTCCGCTTTCCCAATGAGGCTTTGTTCGTGGACTTCTAGAAGACCGAGCACCCACGCTGTGGCTTGAGCATCTCAAAACCCCTTCCCATTCCAATCAATCCATGCTAGATAATCAAAATCCAGCAAGCTTGGCGGCCACAATGATCTTTCAGCAAGAAAGCGATGCATCAAAACTTCCATGCAATGCATCTAATCCCATGGTGCAGAGTTCATCACCGGCTGATCGTTTTCCTCATCAAATATGTCAAACCCCAAGTGGCGGCCAGGGTCTAGGAATCGCAGCGGACCCCGTTCAGAAGACAACTCGTTAACAACATTGAAGAGATGTTTCGGAAGTAGTTGCAGTCCCAGATTCTGCGTCATGTGGGCTCTACTGACGGATTTTGGTACTATAGCAGTTCCTCTCTGGACAGCCCAAGAGAGACAGACCTGATGACTGGTCAGATGTTGTACTTCTTTTTGTAGCAATATCAACCTACCTGGGCTGGAGACATCCCGCATTTTTTGGAGACTTCAATTATCTGCAGCATGTTAGGGCGACATATCTTGCGGAACAAATCTGGGGCTAGCCGTATGCCTGCCTACCTTTGAATTTTCAGTGGGAAACGGCTCATCTGGATGACCTCTGACCTGTGCCACTGGTCGACCGCCGAGAGGTTGGTGGGCCATGAGCAGAATTCCATGCTTTGATGAGAAATCAAGAAGTTCATGTTGTGGCAAGTAACTATCCACCGTAAGAAAGTGGAAGATTCTGAGAGACCCGAGGAATATTGTGAACATACGGGTGAAGCTCAACCTGGTTAACCGCTGGAACAATTTTGGCAACTTCAAGTATGCGCTTCGTCTTAAGGACATTGAAGTTGGAAAGCCCTTCTTGATGTCAGCTTTCAGTCCTCGACAAACACTCACGAGAATGTGTATGACTCACCGATAGATCGAGCCTTGCCCGAGTCGACGAGCTTTTCCATCGCTTGCCATGTTTCCGGATACCGCCGAGAGAGGTCGTAATCAATAACAGGCTATCTGAAAGGTCAGAAACGAGCTGCCGTAGCCAAATGCGAACTGAATCACCAACCTTTCCATTGCCACTCGGGTGCCTGGTGGTATTGTTATTTTCGCCGGCTTTGTAGGCATGAGGAACTATGATGTCTTAGCCATACACCGTAACGACAAGGAGGCGTTTTCATGACATACAATGCATTAGATATAGGTCAACTACATTGTTCCAAATTAATCCAATAATCAGGTTTTGCAGAAAGGAATCCTACCATAATCCAGTTGAAGGTCACGTAGAGAGGCTTCAAGAGCTCTCTCAACGTCGGCAGGCTCATGCCAGGTTTGGGCGCTAACGAGCTAATATGTTATAATCTTATCGTGGGACTGGGAAACCAGCATATTCAGCATATGTTGCTTACAGCTTAGACGTCACAAACATCTCTTCCCTCGGAATTCCGCTTTCTTTGATAGCTTCGCCAATGTCTTTCTCGTTGCCGTATGCGTTGGCCCCATCAATGTGCCTGTAACCGAGACTCAGCGCCAGCTTCACGGCATCCTTGACCTTGGAGTTGCCCTCGGTTCCCTGGAAAGTTCCGAAGCCAACCGCGGGAACCTTTCGGCCATTATTCAAAGTGAAGATCCTAGGAAAAGACATGGTGGCAACCGTTTGTCTGGGGCTTCAAGACCCTGAGCCTGGTCATTGGATGGTGTAAAGGTGATTGAATCTCAGACGATTAGATGCGCGGGGTAATGCGGAGGTACTCAATAAGCCGTCAGTATGTGTGCTTAGTAAGTAGAGGCGGAGGATAAAAGAGTAAAGAAACATCCCTGAGAATGGAAGCCAACGGGCCAACCCTCATGAAGCATTAACCGCCCTTTCGCAAATATCCTTGTGCTGGATTAATCCCGGTACATGACCAACAGACCAACCTGTGCCCAAGAGATAAAGAAGCTGGTCGTCACCTCTCACCGCCAAAAGATGGGATGTTTTTGGATGTAACAGATAAACACGCCAAATCTTCGCACTCGATCGTTTAGCATGAGATAGTGATACGGGATGTACACGGAGAGAGTGGACCATAGCTGGCTGAAAAGATGACGTCCCTCGAAACCAATATTCTGCCCGAGAAAGTTTGTTCTGTTGATCCACGGATCGTAACTGGTCAGCGAGTGCCCCGATTTGATACTGAGCTTGGTCTGAGATTGCGTTTCTAGCTTTGGACGATGTTGACAGCGTCACTTCTATGACACAACTTTCCCAATCAGAATGGGCAACCACATTCTGCCTGACTATTCGTCACAGAGACAAGAGCGAAGAGCAATATTTTGTCAAGGTCATCACTTCTAATTGAACTTTCAGCGATGGCAAATGCTGATGATTGAGCTCACAGGTTTCTTACGGAGCACAGGGAAAAGAGGCGCTTGAAGGCGAGTTTGCCGCCACCTCCGCCATACACTAATACCGCGCTCCGGACTTTTGTCCCAGACCGATTGCTTGCGGTACCTACGAAAGTGACACCAATTCGCACTTCTACATTTGCGAATTCCACAACCTGAGTGGGCGTCTTCCTGCCCCTGGCAGCTTCTGCAAGGAGTTGTCTCAGTTGCATTCCCGCAGATCTCCTCGCGGCGATTTCGGGTTTCAATGTGTCACATACAACGGTGACATCCCCCAGGACAACACTTGGTCGAATAATTGGGAACGCTTCTTTTCCAAAAGCTTGCGTCATTTACTGAATGTGCGAGAGGATAGAGCCGGACCTAGTGCTGAGCTCGAACAACTTTTGCCTGAACTTTTTGGGCGTGTGATACCGAGACTGTTGCGTCCGTTGGAGACCGCCGGCCGAACTTTGAAGCCTTCGCTGGTACATGGAGATCTATGGTACGGCAACGCCAGCATCGACGAGGGCACTGGAAAGGGTATCGTATACGACCCGGCCAGTTTCTGGGCGCACAATGAATGTAAGTTTCACATACTCACATGGGAAATAATGCTAATGTCCACAACTCATAGACGAACTGGGAAATTGGCGGCCGAAGCGAAATAGATTCACACAAGAATACTTCGACGCATATCACTCTCTCATTGCAAAATCAGATCCAATCGAGGATTATGACGATCGCAATGCTCTTTATGCCATGTACGTCGTCCAAGCAGTTCACCGCTGCCTTTTAACTGATCTTGGCGTCCAGAAGATTCAACTTACAAGCGGCTACACTTTTTCCTGGTGAAAGGACGTATCTGAGGGAGTGGGAAACCCATGATTTCGACCTCTTCGCATAGCTGACCGTCTATGGACAGGTCAATTGATGAAATTCGAAGACTTGTCGCTAAATTTTCCTCTGGGACCCCTTTGACCGTAAGATATCCATCTGACGTCGCCACATGCTGAGGTTTCCATTCATATTTACATTGGGTCATGTGTGCGAAAAGACGGACGTGTCCTTCGGAACGCGACGGAGTGCGAGGTCTATGAATGGACGGCCTCCGATTTCCCGGTGGATTCCCGGCGTTGGAGACAGCGGGGCCGGGCTCGGACGACTGTCGCCCGATGTCTCGTTGTAATAAAGCCGTGATGTCAGGTGCGGAGAAAGCCTCACACTGCATAGTTTAACTAAGACTTAGCAACCTTGATTGTCTGCGGATACCATATATCCTCTCAAATACACTCAAAGCATTCTCGAACCTTTCGTTCATCGATTGTTCATCTCAAAATTGCGTTTCCCAAACGATTCTCGGCACGATGTCAAGCACGTCAGGGATGCAGAACCCGTCTTGGTTTCTTTACGGTCCAGGCTCGGCCAAGCTCGAAGACCGCCCGGTACCAGAAATAAAAAATGACCACGACGTGATGGTGCAAATCAAATATGTGGGCGTCTGCGGCAGCGATGTAATTTCCCCTTCCCTTCGTACCCGCCCTGAAGACTCACATTCTCAGGTCCACTTCTGGCAAGAAGGCGGCTTCATGCGCAAAGTTAGCACCTTGAACCCCCTCGTAATGGGCCACGAAGCATCGGGAACAATCTTCTCAGCCGGTCCCGGCGTCACTTCCGTCAGAGTAGGCGACAAAGTCGCCATCGAACCAGGCTTCCCCTGCCGCCGCTGCAAGAACTGCAAGGACGGCGTGTACAATCTCTGCCCGCGGATGGCCTTCGCCGCAGACCCGCCGGAAAACCACGGCGCGCTGACAAAGTATTTTGTCGTGCCGGAGGATTTTGTCTACAAGGTTCCCAAGGAGGTGAGTCTGCAAGAGGCGGTGTTGGTCGAGCCGACCGCCGTGGCTGTTCACTCTGCCCGCCTAGCGGAGATTAGGTACGGGCAGGACGTGGTCGTGACCGGGTCCGGAACAATCGGGCTACTTTCCGCCGCGGTGGCGAAGGCATTTGGGGCGAAGAGAGTTGTGCTCGTGGATATTCTCGAGAGGAAGCTCGAATTTGCGAGGTCGTTCGTAGAGTGCGAGACGTTCCTTGCGGATGTCAAGACGGATAGCGAGGAGACTGCCTCGCAGCTCTTGAAGAGGTTTGACATGAATGAGGGAGTAGATGCTGTAATCGAGGCTTCTGGAGCGCAGTCTTCGATCCAGACGGGCATCTACTTGCTGAAGCGCGGAGGCAGTTATGTTCAGGCGGGACTGGGGAAAGCCAGGCCCGAGGTTCCCATGCTTGCGTTATCGGAGAAGGAGCTCAAAGTCAGAGGATGCTTCCGCTACGGCTCTGGAGACTATGAGACAGCCCTTTCTCTCATTGCACAAGGGCGAATCAACACCAAAGCGTTGCTCTCGAGCATTACTCCTTTCGAGAACGCTACTGCTGCTTGGGATAAGACGGCAAATGGCGAGGGCATCAAGAATCTCATCGAGGGAGTGAAGGATTAGACCCGGCATCATTAGGAAGAACCGAATGTGCATCATCATTCTCACACTGATAGTATGGGCTTCAACTCCCTCGGGTGGATGTTGAGCCCACTCGGGTCAACGCCGCCGAAGCCAACCCCTCACGACCCATCATTGCCCGCCAACCTGCATGAAGCCAGTCGGGGCCCTCCACACCGAACAACCAATCCCACTTTACACGATTGTGAAAGATCCAGATTGTTGAGGAGGGGCAGTTTGCCTCGCCATGAACTAAAGCATGGTCATGCATAATTGGTCACACCAACTCAGACATGCACATCTGATCGTCACAATCATCTCCATGTGTGACCACATCAGCCAACCAGCATGGCCGCAGCCGTAGTGATGTCAAGCCTCAAGTCTAGGAAAAGCAACAACAGGCACTGTGGACATCCAGCTGAGATCAGCCCCTCAGTTGACTCGGCCTTCACTAGGAACACCAGCGACTCCGATGTCGTACGAAGCTGGTTTAAAGTCTGGACCCTGGCGCCGGCCGCAGCTCCCCGCTTCTGACCCCAACTTCTCCAAACATCACTCCAACATCACAATTACCTGGAGATCTTCATCAAGTTGCATGCCGAAATGACCAAGATACAGCACTCGATCAAACTTCCCACCTTCCGGGAGCCCTTCTCCAAGACGCCCGAGTACGCGCGGGAAGTGATCGCAGGGTGGGTAGACAAGTTCAATCAGCTGCTGACCAATGGCGAACTCGCCGAGTTCCCGTCGCTTTTCCGCAGCGATGCGTGGATCCGTGACTTTCTCAGCCTCTCCTGGGACTTCCGCACCATTCAGGGCCTTCACAGGATAAGCGAGTACTTCCAGGAGAACCTCCGACAGACAGGTCTACGTAACATGGAGCCCCGTGAGACGGGTGCCTTTGCGCCGGCTTTCAGAACTGTCGCCCCCGGGGTTCACTGGGTGGACAGTATGTTTGATTTTGAGAATGACGTCGGCCGTGGGAAGGGAATCGTGCGACTGGTCGAAGAGGATGATAATGTGTGGAAAGCGTACATGATCAACTTCACCCTTCAAGAGCTGAAGAACGTCGAGGAGAAAGCCGGGATCAATAGGCCGACGGGGAAGGTTGACCCCAAGGGCGGAAACTGGAAGGAGAGGCGGGACAGGGAGAGGGAGTTTCTTGACGAGGACCCTGCTGTGCTAGTCATTGGTGCCGGTGAGTGGATGTTGAAGCCAAACGTGGGTTTGAGCCGTCACTGATGTCGACTTACATAGGTCATGCTGGAATCAATATTGGCGTTCGGCTTCGACATCTTGGGGTCTCGACCCTCATGATTGACCGCAATGAACGTGTGGGCGACAGTTGGCGCAAACGATACAGGGTAAGCCAGATAATCTCCAAGATCAACTCCGCCGGCATCTAACACCTATCAGACGCTCATGACCCACGATCCGATCCAATACTGTCACCTTCCCTTCATCCCCTTCCCATCCAACTGGCCCATGTTCATGCCCAAAGACAAGCTAGCCGACTGGCTCGAGTCCTACGCAACAATGATGGAACTCAACGTCTGGACCTCTACCGAAATCGCCGAATCATCCTACGACGACCAGTCTAAGACCTGGACGGTCACCCTCCGCCGCGGCGACGGGAGCACCCGCACCTTGCACCCGCGCCACATCGTCCTCGCCACAGGCCAGGCCGGCGACCCCATCACGCCGACGTTCCCGAACCAGTCCGCTTTCAAGGGCACGGTATATCACGGAGTCCAGCACCAGGACGCATCCACTGTCTCCGACCTCTCTTCCAAGAAAGTCCTCGTCGTCGGTTCTGGAAATTCGAGTCACGATATCTGCCAAAACTTCTACGAGAACGGCGCTGGAAGTGTGACGATGGTACAGCGCGGCGGGTCGTACGTCATCACCGCCAACAAGGGAATCTTCGTCATGCACAAGGGCATGTACGAGGAAGGCGGGCCACCGACGGAAGATGCAGACATCGTTGCCCAAAGCATACCGACACCGGTGGGCTTTGCGCTGAGTGTTCACGGGACCAAGGCTATTGCGGACGTGGATCGCGAGATTCTGGATGGGTTGACCAAGGCTGGCTTCAAGCTCGACTTCGGACCTAATGGTAGCGGGATCTATCGCAAGTACATTGAGCGGGGCGGAGGGTACTACATCAACGTGGGATGCAGCGAGCTCATCGTTGACGGTAAAGTCAAAGTCCACCATAGCCCCAAGGGTATCGAGAAGTTCACGCCAAACGGACTGGCTCTGGCGGATGGGACGACTCTGGATGCCGACATTGTTGTTCTTGCGACTGGATACGACGGCATGAAGTCTACTGCGCGTAAGGTATTCGGGGACAAGGTAGCCGGTCGCCTCCAGGAGTGCTGGGACCTGGACGAGCAGGGAGAGATCAACTCCGTGAGTCTTCGCCATGCCTCAAGGTTGGCATGATACTAAAGTAGACAGATCTGGCGAAGCAGTGGCCATCCTGGATTCTGGTATATGGGTGGCAATCTTGCGTTGTGCCGTTCGTACTCCCGCTTGTTGGCGCTGCAGATCAAGGCTCTAGAGGAAGGTTTGTATTCCCAGACATGATAGACGACACGGACGGCTTGAATGAAGATGGCGGGAAGCCTTCTGGCAGTTGTAACGAGGATATTGGTCGTTTAGACCAAAGAGCCATCAACATTATGATATGATACTTGCTGCAAGTGACTAGGCTTCGCCCGATTCCAAGGGATCCATCGAGCCTGATTTTCTGACTTGTCAGGTACTTCATATACCTGCCGCACGATATTATATAGGCGCATCGCCTTCCTGCGAGCCGAACAGTTGTGACCCTCGCTCCGTGCCTAACTCGGAATTCCTTCCATAATCAAAGGTTTCCGGCAAACCCTCCGTGAGCAGCAAATCGCTGCTGGTAATCGCGGAGGTGGGCCCAATTCCGCATTTCCTCTTCCTCATCCTGCGGCGTCATGTTCTCCCCAGCCATATTACTGCCACTGGGGCCTGTCCCTTCCAGCTTTAGAAGGACATCGATCAATCGCATAAGCGCCTCCTCAGAATTCATAGCAACTGGCCCCTTCCTCTCGGGTGCATCGTTCAGCAGTGTCGAGGCGACCTGCCGGATTTTGTTGATGAGAGAGCCGCCATTGGGCTCGAGGTTGCGCTGTGAAATTGAACCAAGGACGTGAAGGAGGTTCTGCACAATCAGCTCACGCTCAGCTGTCATGAGCTCAAAGACTGCGGAGTCCTCTGCTTCTTTTGCAGCCTTCTCTTCAGCAGATTCACCATTTTGCGTCTCTTTGTTTGGATCAGCTAGATGTACGTCGCGTAGGTTGAAGTACAGCTCCACATAGAATGACCGTGTTGCCAGTTGAGAAATGTAGATGTTAGCCTTCTGAATCTCATACTGGAGCTGACGACGACGCTGCGGCTGGTTCTTAATCACATTCCGGACGTCATTTGGAGGCTGGTTGTTTGGATATGCGGGAGGCACGTATTGAAGGTCGGCATCATCGAGAGCACCAAAGCCACTAGATTGGTCGTGCGATGCGCTGAGCTGGAGCTCCGTGGGCAGCCGATCGATGATTTCCTTGGCAGCCACCAGAGCATCTCGCAGGATCGGCCTCTGATCAGACCATGGAAGCGTATTCATTCCGTAAACAAGCTCCACGCTCACGATGGCGTTCATGGTCGTGTAGATCTCAATGGCGAAGCGATAACCCGTGAGCAGGGTGACAGTGTCTTCTGAGGGGAAAACAATCTCATTCGCCATGATGTACAGGTCGTCAACATTCTCGGGCAGAGCTGGGTACGGCAAGCCAGGCGTTGATGGAGCTATGACGAGGTCGGCATGAGATGCTCCAAGCTGCGAGAAGGACCTGCAGCAGTCAGTACTGGAATCATGGGTTGCAACAGACGGTTTCTATCTCACCTCACACCCAACAAAAGACACCAGAAGATGCGCTTTCCAATTTGATCCTTGATGTGGTGAAATGGCAGCGGGTCGGGAGAGCAATTGTCGTTGCCAAACGTAGGAAGCTCGCCGGGGTGCTTTGGGCGGTGGAAGCCCAGCTCTCGAATCAGGGCCAGGCACTCCGAAGTGAAGTAGCGGAAGCGGTTGACCTCGAAGGTGTACCCCGCAGCCAAGCCCAGGAAGTAGCTGGTGGCCGCATCATCCAACGTCTTTGGCTGCTTCACGGCCCACCGTGCGCCTCTGGTATCTAGCGCAATGTCGCGACACTTTTCAATCATGACAATTGCTCGAGGGAACAGGTGCGTGCTGTGTTGGGTCTTGAGGTGCTGTCTAGCGCTTCGAGGGAATGAGGCCACGAGAGCTCCAATCATGGAAGCCAGCAGGCCAAGGAACTCTGGGTTTGTCCGGTCTTCTCGATTCGCAAAGGAGTGCCGGAATGTCGGTTCGTGCGGAAACGGCGCGAGGGGGTGGATGTAGGTGAAGAAGTCGTCGACCAACAGCTCGAGTATAGGCATCGGGGCGATGGCTTCGGCGTCGAGACGAGCGGGTCCCTCTGCTATCGAGACCAGAGCTTGCGCAGCATTATGCGGAGACGGTGTCGGGTTCGCGGGGCCGTATGCAGGAATGGTGTTGCCGGGCTCGAGACGCTGCCTTCGAGCAGCTCGAGCGGCTTCGGCGTGCTTGTTTGGGGGCCCACGTCTCTTCAGCTCGCGATTGAAAGTGCAGTCGACGTTCAACTCCCGGCATGGCCTACACGGTGGGCCCGCCTCGTCGCACTTGACCTTGCGCTGGGAGCACATGTCACATGCTCGTCGTAGGCGCGTCAACTTCGGGTTGACCGTGGGATCGCGGGGTAGGGCAGGCATCGAGCCGGGCAAGGGTGGCATCGGGGCGAAACCAGGGAAGCCCGGAACAGCGCCTTGGGGGACGGTACCGAGGGAGGCATCGGCTGCGATGGGGGAGGGAGAGGGCCCCGGAGCGGTGGTCGTGACGGTCTGGGGTGTCTGTTGAAGCTGGGGAGGGTGTGTCTGAGACGGCGTCTGAGGTTGCTGCTGTTGCTGTTGCTGCTGCACCTGTTGATGGTGATCTGAACCCGAGGTCATGGACAGCTGCTGGTCGACGGCTTGCTGGTCCTGCTGCTCGCCGTCGGCAACAGCGACAGCAGAACTCAGGTGTTGCTGGACATTTTGAAGAGCAGCGGCAGCAGCAGCGTCGGAAGCTGCTTGGAGGACCTGAAGGCCATTGCTGGCGTAGGCATGAGCCGTGGCCTGAGCCTGGGCTTGAGCCTGTTGAGCTGCAGTCGGGGATGCGGGGGCTTCGAGTTGCGACGGCGAGGGCGGTGACTGTGGCTGGTCGTTTGTCGAGGACATGACGACGAGGACAAGAGACCCGCGATGGCCCCCTTGGATCTTATCGGACTGGTCTGCGTGCGTGGGTGATGGATGGGTGATTGTCGGAGAAGCTCCGGCTCGGGAGGGCGGGATTGCTGTCTGCAGAGGTCCATTCACTGTGGGCGGGCAAGGCGAGGGGATGCGGAGTCGACGCGAGGGCAGAGGCGGTGAGGGATATATCATGACTAATCAGGCATCCGATTCTGCCGACCTCTTTCGGTCTAGCCTCGGTGGAGCCCTATCATCGGCTCCACTCTGGTTCTGACACCCGGATGGGCAGCACAGTGAGGGAAGGAACCCTGAAGCAGTTCGGTCTTTCCTCAAAGATTTAGAAGTAAATCCACCGATCACCGATGCTTCACATAAGGACAATGCTATTCGATCAACTCTACAACAACCACATCACTCAAACAGATGCTCAATCATCTTGGCCATGTCCAGCAGCGACTGGTCGTACGGAACAAAGCCCTGACCGACCGCCTTCAGCGCCTTGGACCCGTCAAAATCTAGCGGCCCAGGCGCCTTGAATCCCGGCAGATATCCCTCGCCCGGCTTGCCCTCCTTGATGGGGAGCCTGGGGTACGCTGGACGAAGAATGTCCGCTGCCGCCTGTGGAGGTCCCCAGCATGTCGACGAGATGTATCTCTCCCCGTCCGCTTCATCAGCCCTCTCCACGGCAAAGAGAATCAACTTGGCAACGTCGCGAACATCCACGTACCAACCGTACCCGTAGGGCGGATCGATGATATCTGCGCCCGACATGATACGCCAGACGTACCGTGCGGAATCCACAATCTTTTCAGGCGTCTCCGGGGGTGTGAGAGGGGGGCCAGTCACGTAGCTACATTGTTGCTGTCAGCAGGCGTGCTTGCATCGGCTGGGCTTGGACTTACACAGGATTGAGAGCCGTCATCGTGAACGAGGGCTTCCCCTCCTCCCGGAACCTCCAGAATTCTCTCTCGCCAATCACCTTGCTGGCCAGGTAGATGAACGCGCCCGGGGTCTTGGCTCCGAGCTGCTCAAATGCCTCGACCGCAGCGTCGTTCCAGTCCTTCTCTGTGAAGGTGTATAGGCCTTCTTTGTTGGAGCCGACGGCGCCGGCCGATGACAACAAGATCACGCTCTTGACGGAAGGTGACTTGGACGCCGACTCGAGAATGCCAATCGTCGATCCCTTGACGAGCGCCATGATGGGCGCAGGATCAGGGATGTCGAATGTCGCTGGCTGCGCGAGATGCACGATGCCATGGACGCCCTTTACTGCCTCGTCAAAGGCACCTGCCGCCGCGATGTCGGGCACCTCAATCACTTCCAGCTTGTCGGCGCCATACTGGGACAGCGCGTCCACAACGGCCTTGGCCGAGGCTTTGGCTCTTACGGTCCCGCGAATGGAATAGCCTGCTTGTAAGAAGGCCTCCGCCGCTCGCGCGGCGATGAAGCCATTGAGGCCAGTCAAAAGAACCATACCCTTGGACATGGTGACTGTCGACAACCCAGCTGGTTGAGAGGATGCAACGGTCTGCTATGGCAGATTATGTGCCAAGACGCTGTCCACGATGCGAGCTCACGATCTTATACGATGTGACGCTGTGGCCTTTCACAAGATCTCGCGTGAGATACCCGTGCGGATCAGAGACTAGCACCGAGGCGTGCAGTAGTTCGCGATGAAGACGACGAGACTAACCCCCCGAAAACCCGCCGAAATGGACATCGCTCGTAAGATGTAAGACTTGACGCCCGGTGTATGAGGCGTCGGTCGCCTGCAGATGAATAATAATCGCTGCACCCTTCCGACGGCGCCAATCAGATCTCGGCGGTGTGCCTCGAGCTGAACACTGTGAACCGCGGCCTCGGCCGAAATGGCGGCCCCGCGTGCTTTCGCCTTTGCGCCGTTGAAGGCCGCACGGGTGTAAGAACTGGAGCAAGTCTACTGGTAGTGCTGACATCCGACGCCGAGCTATTGGACTCCGCAGCGGCCGTGTTGGGGTGAGTCCGATGCTAGACCCGGGTTGCCGGGCTACCGCCGGCCTGCCCGTTACAAACAACGCCGGCAGGGTCAGCCAGGATGGTCTCGGGACATCCCGCCTCATGGCTTTGATGAATGAGCATTGATGTAGGCACCAGTTTTTCTGATTGGGGCGATTTCTCTTGGTCCATTCCGACGTTTCTCAACGTAACTCTCATGACCCTTGGTGACCCTCGCTTAGCAGCAACAATACTCGGCTATTATATTGTCGGCCCTCCTCTCCGTGCTGCCTCCCCTTTTGATACGGTTGAATGCCGAAGTTTTTACCTGGCCATGGACCGTTCCAGCGAACGAACCCCAGACTTTGCTGCTCCGCTAGATAGACTATCCACTACTGCAGTCGAATCGATTGCCCAAAAGCCGCCAAGATGCCGTCATTTGAGGCTCAATGAGGACTAAGACACTGCCGTCGTCCAAGATATAGCTAATTGAAACTTCCATATTCAAAGTATTGATCCTGAATGTTCTCCTTCTACCGTCCTGTGTCATCAATGTTCTCTTCAAACAAGCGGCATCTGTCGCTCCGATTTCTCGTTCCCAAATCGTCTCGACGTAGCAATCGGGCTCCCACAAAAGGCCTCCTACGGCATTCCCTCAACAAACCAGTCCGACATTGGCAAGTCGCAACCGGCTGTCCTCTTCTCTCAGCTCACGGTTGGGCCACTTCGTACAACTCAATATCGGGTTTACCAATGGGCAAGACCAAGGTTGGATCGAGTTCATATATCCTCCAGCCGCCCCCTGTTACCCCACCTTTGCGCCGTCGACGTGAGTGGTTCGCCTCAGCTTACCTTCTGTCAGAAGAAGGAGTGTGCCGTCCATGTGTGGTGGAATCATTCGTGGTCAGCCGAGACTAAATCAATTTGCCGGCTTCCTAGGGGAATTACCCCAGATCAGGGTAGCATCCGTAACCACACCTAATTAAGGCTGAAGCCACATGACAACCTCACCCCCTTCGGCGTTTAGACGAGGCAAACCTAGAATTGTCGAGGTTGTTAGATAGGCGAAGGAGACGTTTCGTGAGCATCTCCAGCGACACCGAAAGATACCATCATGCAGGAACGATTTCTTCGATCACGCCTTACATATCTTCGACCCAAAAACCATGTTGGCACTGTAAACGACGAACTAGGACTCCCTGTATAAGATCGAATTCCGCCTCATAAATCTATAAGCAGGGTGACGATAGACAATGAGCCCTTTTAGTGAAATCGCACAGCCGAAAGTGTTAGCCAGGGGGCATACAACGTACCTATCCATAAGCGCTCTCTGTTGATACCCTCCGCGATTTCCGAAACCTTACCCCTGCCGCTTGAGCAATCCATAAGCCTAGCTGGTATGGGCCTCCGGCGACGGAACGCTGGGTTTGTTTGAGCGAAGCCGTGGGAACAATATCCACACACCCAGACACTTGGCAACAGAGGCTTGATCGTTATTGGCATTGAGACCCCCAGTATTAGCAAAGCTTGGCCTCTGAGGCTCTCTATCGCGACGCAGATCAAAAGGGCACCAGCGAGACTGCGTCCTCGAGTCTATCCTGAAAGCTTCCCTGTGCCCAACAAGAGTAATTGTCGCAGGCAATGAATGATATGGGAGGTTGGGACCGAAAGCATAACTGGGTTCAAAATGTCTAGGTAAACGAAGTTAGTTAGTCCTCTTAGTATCATCAGATATACACCATCACATACGGCTGTCGGTTCCGCCCACCCAATCCCCTATCGTCAGTCGATACCACCTCGTACCTTTTCCTCTGTAGCCACACTTTGCCTCCCCCGCACCTCTCAGTTGCCCGGATCAAATGATGCTTAAATTGTCATCCCGGATTGGTGAACTTCTTACCATCCTCGTGATGGTCGTCCCGGGTTTCGGTCCCTTGGTGCCTGGCGCCTTTCCTTTTGGGATCAAGGCCAACTCCGCGTGGTCTATCTTGTCGGATCTGAACTCGTTGTATCCGACGGATGGACCCCTCCGTGGAAGTACTGTGGATTCCCGTGTCATGATACCCTCACTTCCACGAAAGAGAACTGTCGGCGACTGGGGAAGATCATCTCTTTCGGAGTCTGGACCTCCTTGGCTTATAATGTGCCAAGATCTACCACTTACCAGAGGGGAATATAAGAGGCCATCAACAGTCCTCGACGTCAAGAACATCTACCGCTGACCTCGTCCTCAACCATTTACTCTCTCTTCTTTCGCAACATCACAAGATGCGTTCCCTCTCTGTCCTCCTCGCGGCCATCACCGCTGTCTCCGCGCAGCAGGCCGGCACCCAGCAGACCGAAACCCACCCCAAGCTGACCTGGCAGAAGTGCACCAGCTCCAGCTGCACCAACCAGAACGGTGAGGTCGTCATCGACTCCAACTGGCGCTGGCTTCACGACAGCTCGGGCGCCAACTGCTACGACGGCAACAAGTGGACCGACAAATGCAGCACCGCCACCGACTGCGCGTCCAAGTGCGCCCTCGAGGGTGCCGACTACTCCGGAACCTATGGCGCCACCACCTCTGGGAACGCCCTCAGCCTCAGGTTTGTCACGCAGCACGCGTACGGCAAGAACGTCGGCTCGCGTCTGTACCTCATGAACAGCGCTACCAAGTACGAGATGTTCACTCTCACCGGCAACGAGCTGGCCTTCGATGTCGACCTTTCCCAGCTTGAGTGCGGCCTGAACGGTACGGCAAAGGAACCATCACACCCGTCATGGAGATATCAGTACTGACACGATGCCTAGGTGCCCTCTACTTCGTCCAGATGGACGAGGACGGTGGCATGGCCAAGTACTCCACCAACAAGGCCGGTGCCAAGTACGGTACTGGATACTGCGACGCCCAGTGCGCTCGCGACCTCAAGTTCGTCGGCGGCAAGGCCAATATCGAGGGCTGGGTCCCCTCTTCCAACGATGCCAACGCTGGTGTCGGTCCGTACGGCGGCTGCTGCGCTGAGATGGACGTCTGGGGTATGTTTCCTCGCCCCGACCGATCTGAAGGGTGCTAACCACGCGCAGAGTCCAACGCACACTCCTTCGCTGTCACCCCCCACGCGTGCAAGAACAACGCGTACCACGTCTGCGAGAAGAGTGGTTGCGGTGGTACCTACTCCGAGGACCGCTTCGCCGGCGACTGCGATGCCAACGGCTGCGACTTCAACCCGTACCGCATGGGCGTCACCAACTTCTACGGCAAGGGCAAGACCGTTAACACCTCCCAGAAGTTCACGTAAGTACCAATCACGATGAACAAGCGAGAGACATTCACATACTAAACGTTCCCAAGTGTTGTCACCCAGTTCTCCAGCAACAAGGTTGCCCAGTACTTCGTCCAGAACGGCAAGAAGATTGAGATGCCTCAATCCGCCATCAGCGGCGTCACCGGCAACGCCGTGACCCCCGAGTTTTGCACTGCCCAAATGAAGGCCTTTGGCGACCGCGACCGCTTCTCCGAGGTTGGAGGCTTCTCCCAGATGAACTCTGCCTTCAGCGGCAAGTGGGTGCTGGTCATGTCCATCTGGGACGACCACTACGCCAACATGCTCTGGCTCGACTCCGTCTACCCTCCCGAGAAGGCCGGCCAGCCCGGTGCGGCCAGAGGCGACTGCCCCACGACCTCTGGTGTTCCCGCCGATGTCGAAAACAGCCTTGCCAGCGTAAGTCTCCCTTCAGAAAGCATTCTTGTCGAGCCCGTGCTAATAATTCGTGCTCGCAGGCTACCGTCACCTACTCCAACATCCGCTTCGGCCCCATCGGCTCTACTGTCAAATAAGTGCGGGCTGATCCGTCTTCTTGGCGAGATTACCCCTGAGATTGTCCCTGGGATTCTTGTCTGCTGCGCTGTTCGGGTGTGTTTGCGGGGGTCGATGCCCAGGAAAAAGCCTGGCATGATCGATAACGCGGTCGTGCGGGTGCGGGACGCGGTTTTCTTTTCGAAAGTTGCACATATTTTTATCGAATCGGTGTACATAAGTCATTAACGCTCGTTTCCTGAATGCGCTTCGCCCGAACGTGAGAAGAACCTGTTCAATGGAATGGCTGTCATTGGCGTCCGAGACAGACTATTGTTAGTGTCCGCTGTATTAGCGACATTACCTTAAAGAAACCTCCCTTGCTTCGGTGAGAGACTCCCCACTGAGAAGTGACCATTTCAATGGGTACTCGGCACATCCCTGGCCCCGGAGGCTGGCTGAGAAAAGAGTCAAGAAATGACAACGAACGCACGTGTCTTGGGTGATACAAACTTATAAAGTTGAAGCCATCCCGTCAGATGTCTTACCTCGCCGTAGAAAGTCAAGGTCGCGAGCTCATTCATATTTGTTCACCAGATACGAGAGGCTCGGCCGAGTCAACTGAGACGCGATACGCCAAATGAATGGTGGCCAGTCGCGGTGAGACTTCCGACGACCACTCATCTCCCTGACAATTCTGAACTCTGGGCCTCTGACGCACCAATAAGCTCCA